TTAAGTAGCTGTTACAGTTATAACCGACTTTTTGTACATATATTTATATAGTATTTCTAGTGGAGTAATCAAATGTGTTGCATGCAAGTGTGATTATTTTTAAATTGCTTTGTGTCAAGTTGCACTGAAATTATGTTGCATGCAACTATTTATATAGTATTTCATGTCATACATTTCCTTATTCTTTTCTTATTATTGTTGTTATTATTATTTTTACCTTACTTATGTGTCTCTGTATTTGTTTTGTATGTATGCTGCTGAAACACTATTTTCTTATGGAACTTAATAAAGTTTTATAATAGAAGAATAAACAGTGGCACAGGGAGCCGTTTAAACAGCTGTTAGCATTTAGTATTAGCTGGCTAGTTAATGCAGCTGGTTACAGAAACAAACTCATATTTTTTGCCATTAAGTGGAAAACATCAGGAAATCATCCGGTAGATAATCTTTTTTTATTTTGTCCATTGATCTGATGAAATCAATGGTTTGAAAGTAAGTCGTTCGACATGATTGTGTAATACTTATTGGCTGTTTCATGAAAATTGTGCCATGATGTTGAGACGATTGCGGCTGAGTTTCAAAAGACTTATGGGACGCTTTGTGTTATACAACTTAAGTGAAATTTAGGTTCATGTAAGTTTCAAGCAACCATTATCCTTTCTTATCTGACATAGTATTACAGCACATCTCGTCTCTCGGCCTCTTTGGGACATCCATCATAAAACAAGTAAATGTGTAAATATTTGTACAAATCATATACTGGAATACACACACACACACACACACACACACACAGTGTCTAACCCGCTTATCATTCTGGGTCGTGAGCGCAAGCCTATCCCAGCACTCATTGGGCGGAAGGCAGGAAACACCCTGGACAGGTCACCAGTCCATCGCAGAGCAGACAGACAGACGTACACATTCACACCTAGGAGGAATTTAGAGTGTCCAGTTGGCCTGACTGCATGTCTTTGGACTGTGGGAGGAAACCGGAGGACCTGGAGGAAACCCACGCGTACACGGGAATATACTGGAATATTTTAATTAAAAAACAAACTATGTAACATAAATTAACATAGTTAAAGAAAGTTTAATTATAAAAAGGAAATATTGACTTACTAAGACTTAAGATAAGTCTTCGTAAAGGGCAACAAGTATTCAAAGCTTGTAAAATGCTATTCTGGCCAGCACTAGAGTTAAGGCTCGCTTCACGTAGTAAAACTTTAATGCAACTTTAGTTGCTTGAAACCTTCATGAAGCCAAATTGCAGCAACTCATTTGAAACTCTGCAGCAACGGTTGCAAACATCTCAACTTCATAAAACAAGTTCTAAATGTTGATGAAACAATGTGTAATCATGTCACACGACATAAATAAATTATGTATTTCACCGGATCAATAGGCAAGAAAATAAAGAAGAAAATGGTTTGTTGGGTGGGGGAAAGTGAGATCCCTGCAAGGCTGGTAGCTTTTTATTTTGGAAGTTTCCAGATCCATGACAACAAACTTGAGTTTCTTGAAGGTAACGTTTCTGTGAACTGCTGGCTTAACTAGCCAGCTAATGGTGTACCGTTTAAATGACTGTCTGTCCCAGTGTTTAGTCTTCTGTGTTAGGATGCGGGAGTAGTTATCTGTGTAGCCGTATTTGTTTTGTCCTCTCTAGACAATCCCTAAATTTACACAGTTCACAGATTGGCATCAAGTACAACCATAATGTATCACCTCACATATTACTTTATATAGTGACGTTACGAACACAGTTGCACGCAACACACTTGATTACTCCACTAGTTAAACAAATTGGCAGCTGATATTAAAATATATGAGCTGCCAATTTGGTGAACTAGTGGAGTAATCAAATGTGTTGTGTGCAACTGTGATTGCTTTTGAATTGCTTCGTGTTGAGCTGCACTGAAATTATGTTGCGTGCAACTAGTTGCATGAAAGTTTGACCGTGTAAAGTTGTCCTTACCTTTGCTATGTTGCCGGGTGTGTTTTCTGCTCAACATGTGGCACTAGTTCTCAGACAGACATGTGTTTTGGCACATGAACATGTTACACGTGGTGTGTTGTGATGCAACAGAGGGAGTGAATGTGTGTCAGGTGTGAGTGTGTGAGTGTGTGTGTGTATGGAGGTGTACAGTAAGTGCCATATGGGGCCATATGTCAGCTTACGCAACACAGTGTGTGTGTGTGTGACCCTGCAGTCAGGAGCTGCTCAGTGAAGCGTTCAGAATTCAGAATACCCGAATAAGGCCAACAAAACAAACCAGCACATTCTCACACTCTCTTAGGCTGCCTTTGTACAGTGAGGCGTTCATGCAACTAGTTGCACGATGTGAGCTGCATGCAACTTACCTCCCATGTAACTTGAGAGTTACACAAAGCAGTTCAAAGACAATAGAATTATATTTGACCACTCAACTAGATAACCAAACTAGCAGCTTGTACTTGTTTGTTAATTGCATTTTCCTCACTATTTAAAGCAATTTACAATGTGTAACTTAGATTTGCTTATTTGCACCATTTTTATTGTCTTTGTAAAATTTCTTAAGCTGTCATTTTCATTCTTTTTTATATATCTATACACCTGTCTTTTCATTTAGATATTAAAGGCAGTATATAAGCTACATCATGCGCCTGGTAAAGAAGATGTTTGAGGCGTCTGCGAGAATCATGAGATGTTCCGGAGTTTAATCTCGTCCAGACGGCACCGCCTATCGTGTACAATATAAAGTTGCCTTTGTCTGATTGGTCAGTGCTTCGTGGCCTTTGCTTGTAATTTGAATGAACTTGATATCAGCTTATTCAGTGCTCGATTTGATACACAGTAATACGGTGGGGTCTCATGCATTTATTTTGTTGATACAGCAAAAATGAGGAATGCCTGAATATGTGCCTTGTGTTCACGTGTTAAAGGCCCCATAAATTACATTTGTTCTTGTGTTTTGAAGTCCACTGTGGTTTTATTTACCCAAACTAGTCATAATTCATAGTTTTTCATTCTTTTTATCCCTTAGATTTAAACTGGTTTTGTCACTGTACCTTTATGACTGTGCTATTATTGTGAAATGGCAGCATCTAGAAGCAACAGCAGCACAGCAACGAAGCGGTAGACCACGCAAACTCACAGAGCAGGGCTGCCAATTGCTGAAGCGCACAGTGTCTATCCTCTGTTCAATCACACAGTACTGGTTTGGCGCAGCCACTGGACTCTGGAGCAGTGGAAACGTATTCTGTGGAGTGATGAATCACGCTTCTCTATCTGTCAGTCTGATGGACGAGTCTGGGTTTGGAGAATGCCAGGAGAACGTTACCTGCCTGACTGCACTGTGCCAGCTGTAAAGTTTGGTGGAGGAGGGATAATGATATGGGGCTGTTTTTAAGGGGTTGGTCTAGAACCCTTAGATCCAGTGAAGGGAAATCTTAATGCTTCAGCACCAAGACATTTTGGCAATCGTTTGCTTCCAGCTTTGTGGGAACAGTTTGGGGAAGAACCTTTCCTGTTCCAGCATGACTGAGCCCCAGTGCACAAAGCAGCTCCATAAAGGCCTGACTGGGTGAGTTTGGTGTGGAAGAACTTGACTGGCCCTCACAGAACCCTGACCTCAACCCCATCAAACACCTTTGGGATGAACTAGAACGGAGATTGGAGCCAGGCCCTCTCGTCCAACATCAGTGTCTGACCTCACAAATGCTCTTCTGGATGAATGGACAGAAATTCCCACAGAGACTCTCCAAAATCTGTAGGAAGCTTCCCAGAAGAGTGGAAGCTGTTACAGCTGTAAAGGGGGACCAACTCCATATTAATACCTATAGATTTAGAATGGGTTTCATAAAAGCTCCTGTAGGTGTGATGGGTGATGTGTAGGTGTCCAAATACTTTTGTCTATATAGTGTGTGTGAATGAGGTGAAGACACGGATTGTTTTGCAGCTTCATATAATATGTGGGGAATGAATGGGATGTTTTTGAAACTTTAATGACGTTTAATACATCAAACTTCATTTTAAATATAAGTAAAATTTTTAAAAAGCAAAGAATATTTGGTTTTCATCTACATGGGCCCTTTAATGTTTATATATGAAAGTTTGCACCATGCACTTACACCAGGGGTGTAAAGATGCACATATTTTCAGGTTTCATAAGATTTGCAATTCTGAGGTCAATATTTGATGCCGTTTTTGATATCTTGTATATTTTGTAAGCCCGGTCATTTGAGCGTGGGTGTGTGCATACTTAAGTTCCTCCTTCTCTCCACACTCTTTACTCTGATAGGCTGCTTGCGAGCGTTGGGCGTATCTGCTGTTCAGTTTTCAATTTGAACACACTGTTTCAGATCCGATCCTCTATTGAAACCATCCCAGGATCACATTTTTATTTTTCCGCTGGTTAAATTCCAGATACTAATTTGTGTGCTGAACACAAAAGCAAACATGTGGAGAACTGTCCTGCAGTCCTGCAGAGTGAATAATAATCTGAATATCTTGGGTATCGTTGCTGATTTTGCCCAAAATGTGAATTTTATTTAAGGCTTTTTTTTTAATTAAGCAATGTTTTATGTTTGGAAACCCGAGCTATGAGGGTGTGTTCAGTGTTATGATAAGGTCTATTAGTAATATTTCTATTAACAATATTAGAACTATTATTAACCGATACAGTGTGAACCTCCCACTCAAATTACAACACATTTTACAGCAGAATTTATATGATATTTATTTGTGTTTAAGCTATTGGAAAAAAAATAAAACACACAATATACAATGGGCCATAACCCCCCCCCACCCCCGCCATGTGTTAAATTCAGCAAATAAACAGCAGTTGTGTTTTAAAATGCATTCTCTTTATAGAATGTGTTATTTCTCATTTAGAAAATCAATAAAACATGGAATTTGACCAGGGGCACCCAAACTCTTGCATATGACTGTATGTTTTATTAATGCGCTTGTCTGTGTGTGTCTGTGTGTGTGTGTGTGTGTGTGTGTGTGTGTGTGTGTGCAGGAGTTTGCGGTGTTGACCAAAGAGCTGAATGTGTGTCGGGAGCAGCTGCTGGAGAGAGAGGAGGAGATCGCTGAGCTCAAGGCAGAGAGGAACAACACACGGGTCAGTAGCTGCACTATGGACTGTGTGTGTTTGACCAGATTTTCTTGTCTTAATGGGCTGAATTTCATGATGTGCAGTGTTTTAATTAAGGTTGAACAGTTAATTGCTTTTATATCGAAATCACAATTTGAAAGAGTGCAATTTTAATTATACACTCTTAAAAAAGATGAGGGTTCTTTAGTAAAGACAGTGGTTCTATATAGAACCATAAACACTCAAAAGAACCATTTGTATGCTTAACAGGTTCTTTACATGGTGAAAAGGTTCTTCAGATTGATGGAGGATGTGTTGTTTAGGGTTCTTCTGTTGTTACGATGTCAGGGGTGTAACAATAGCAGAACACTTTTCGGTGCTATGTAGAACCCTTTTTAAAAAGGTTCTATATACAACCATATACAACACATTCTCCACCCGTTCTCCCTCTCTTCTCTATTTCTTTCACTTTCTTGTTCACTCTCTCTCTCTCTCTCTGACTCTCTCTCTCTCTCACTCTCTCTCTCTCTCTCTCTGTAACTCTCTCTCTCTCTCTCTCTCTGTAACTCTCTCTCTCTCTCTCTCTCTCTCTCTCTATCTCTCTCTCACTCTCTGTAACTCTCTCTCTCTCTCTCTCTCTGTAACTCTCTCTCTCTATCTCGCGCTCTCTCTCTCTGTAGCTGCTGTTGGAGCATTTAGAGTGTTTGGTGTCTCGTCATGAGCGTTCTCTCAGGATGACGGTGGTGAAGCGACAGGCTCAGTCTCCGGCTGGAGTGTCCAGTGAGGTTGAGGTGCTGAAGGCCCTGAAGTCCCTGTTCGAGCACCACAAAGCACTGGATGAGAAGGTGAGTGTTATTTGGAGTTTACAGCAGACTAGAAATGCAAACGACCGTCCGTCCAGTCCACTCTGACTTACAGATCCTTATACGGACATTTCGAGGAGGAAATAGCAGATGCCAGGGAGACAGTCAAATCATACTTCAGAGGACAGTAGATGTGAATTCTTGCATCATTTTTGTAAATTGTGAATTTAGTCTGTGTAGCCCTTATGCTGCGTTGAAGTTCTCCTCTGCAAATCGGCTTCAGAGGTCATAAGCACGACGAGATGTGTGTGGTTTTGGTTGGAAACAAGCTGGGCATGCTGGGAATAGTGTTTTTTACCTTTACTTTTTTATTCTATCTTTTTCTATCGCAAGTTTGTGGATACATTCACATTAAAAGCCTCACTGCTCAACTCAAATTTTTTGCTCAGGTCCGATTTTACTTACATGATGGTTCACGTTGTCACATGGACAAACCACATAAGCCATGAACAAACTGACCAGCAGAACAAAGGTCATTCACTCTGATCAGCGCTCAGCTGTTCATTATTGGAATAAGATGAAGATGAAACAGGCTCAGATGCTTTTGCAGTGTTTACTGGCTCTTAACTTCGCGGTAACACTGAATGATGGAGCACGCACAGTAAACAAAAACACGTGAATTCCGATTGAAATGTTCTCGTTGAGGTCGCCTGGCCACGTATGTATCCGATCTAGGACCACAGATGAAAGTGGCCCGGATCTGGTTTGAAAAGTGCATGTAAACTCTTACTCAGATTTCTTTCGGATTTCTCCGTCTGCACATGTGCAAAAACAGACCACGGTGCCGGAAATAAGCAAGCAGTGTTTAACACGGCACCCATGAGACAGCAACAAAACACTTTGGAGCAACACTGAAAGCAACTACACGCTTGATGAAATGAAGGATTTAAATATTCTTCATCTTCTAGATGATGTGTGTTCATATTTTCAGGTAAAGTGACTCAATGTTTTTTAAGAAAAGCCGCAGCTTTTGAGTTTTACATTACGTTTACTTCACGTCTTCTTCTGTGAGTTTACACAAAATGCAAAGCAGAAATCTGATTACTGTCTGACTCATGTAGACCCAGAGTTTCCCCATTATCTGATTACTCAAGTGCATGTAAACGTGTTGATCGGATTACTGACAAAATCGGATTTTCTGCAGTTATCGGATTATTAAGTGAATGTAAACACACTCATTGCACCATTGAAATGATTTTAAAGCTGTTATTTTAAGGTGAAATTGTGACGTAATGTTGCCTTAAGGCAAAAAATCTGATTCGTGCCACTTTAGCCTGGTAATGTGAACGTAGCCAATTTTGCGTTACTGCAATAAAATACAGAGCAGAGGATGCACGTTAGATAATCAGTGGTTTTACTAGAATCATCACACAGCATATGCTCATATTTCTTTGCATGTGGATGAGAGTAAGACATTAAAAACACATTTTAGCCTGCAGTGATTTACCAAAAATACACCCACCATGATTGGATTTCAAAAAATGGTCTAAAAATCAATTTTAGATTAAAATCTACTCAAAACTACTGTTAAACAGTGTCAGGCATCAGGCAGTTTATTCATAACCGTTTCATGTAATAACATTTTGTGAAGGATCTTTAAGTTCCATTGTACCTCACTGTTACTTCTGTGGGTGAAGAACTCCCACACTCAGGATTAATTCAGATCCAGAATGTTAAAATCCTCCCCAGGATTTCGTTCCAACTGCCTGGCTGCAGGTTTGAGCTAACTAAAAAAACCTCTGCTTTGGACGTTCTGGATCTTTCCTTCTTCGGTTCTTCTCCTTTTGCTGCCGTTATCATTCAAATCCATCTGTTTTTCTTCTACATCCTTCTCTTTCTCTCCTTCTGCATCCTTCCCTCTCTCTCTCTCCTCTCCTGACCTCCTTTAGGTGAGAGAGAGATTGCGTGTGGCTCTGGAGCGAGTGGCCGTCCTGGAGGAGGAACTGGAGTCTTCAACCAGAGAGGTACTGATGGCTCCACTCCTCTCCAGCTCTTTCAGCGATTAAAAAGCCGTTCACACGCAGTCCGATTTTTACAGACAAAAAAAAAGTCCAGTGTTAAAAACAAAGACATGCACGTTAACCGTGTAGCTACTGTAATAAACTGTAATAAACAGTAATAAAGTAAAAACCTTAGTAACCACCTGGGATACCATAGCGGTGACCTAGCAGTGGCTTACCACCATCTTAGCAACCAACCAACAGCCTAGCAAAACCTTATCAACCACCTAGAATACCATAGCAACAGCCTAGCAACTCCTTATGAACCACCTGGGATACTATAGCAGTGCCTTAGCAGTGGCCTACTAACAATTTAGCAACAACCTGGGATACCATAGCAACAGCCTAGCAGCTCCTTATTAACCACCTGGGATACCATAGCAGTGGTCTAACAAGACCTTAGCGACCACTTGGGATACCACAGCAGCAGCCAAGCAGCAATTTAGCAACCACCTGGGTTACCATAGTGATAGCCTAGCAACTCCTTATAAGCCATCTGTGATACCATAGCAACAGCCTAGCAACTCCTTGTCAACCACCTGGGATACCATAGCAACAGCCTAGCAACTCCTTATCAACCACATGGGATGCCATGGTAACAGCCTAGCAACTCCTTTTCAACCTCCAGGGATACCATAGCAACAGCCTAGCAACTCCTTATAAGCCATCTGGGATACCATAGCAGCAGCATAGCAACTCCTTATCAACCACATGGGATGCCATGGCAACAGTCTAGCAAGTCCTTTTGAACCACCTGGGATACCATAGCAACAGCGTAGTAACTTCTTATCAACTACTGGGGATACCACAGCAACAGCCTAGCAACTCCTTATCCTCCTCAGGGATACCATAGCAACAGCGTAGTAACTTCTAATCAACCACCAGGGATACCATAGCAACAGCCTAGCAACTCCTTTTCAACCTCCAGGGATACCATAGCAACAGCCTAGCAACTCCTTATAAGCCACCTTTGTTACCATAGCAACAGCTTAACAACTCCTTATAAACCACCTGGCGAAACCAAAGCAGTGGCCTAGCAGTGGCTTACCACCACCTTAGCAACCACCTAGGATACCATAGCACCAGCCTAGCAACTGCTTTTCAACCACCTAGGATACCATAGCAACAGCCTAGCAACTCCTTATCAACTTATCATCTTTCTTTTTCCTTTATCTGTCCATCCACTATATGTATCCTGATCTTCCTCACAGGTGCTGACTCTGCGAGATCAGATCAAAAGAAGAGAGCGAGGGATGGACAACGGAAAGGAGGTGAGACCCCCTAATCATATTACTCGCACGCTTTTTTGATGTTTTCACCCGTTTTGTTCATCTTCTTTCTCATTTCTTTTTCTCAGCGGCTCCCGAATGGCCCGTCGTCCATCTTGGATGATGGAGAGATCGACAGACAGAGAGAAGGAGAGATAGAGCGACAGAGGGCAGAGCTTTCACAGCTGAAAGAGAGACTGGCCCTCATGTGCAGACAGGTGTGTACGAGAGTGTATGAGAGAGAGAGAGAGAGACAGAGAGAGAGAGAGAGAGAGAGAGACAGAGAGAGAGAGGGGGAGAGAGAGAGAGACAGAGAGAGAGAGAGAGAGACACACAAAATACTGACACATTTTGCATTAGAAAATGTTCCAGCTGGCCAATCAGAAGAAGAGATAACAGTTCTATGGTTGCTATAGTGATGAGGGAAGCAGGCTGTGCTCCCTCTGGTGGCCAAATGCAGCACTGCAGCCAGTCACTGTATTACGGAGTGAGTGAGCCTTAGGCCTGGCCCACACTAAAGGATTTAATTGATATTTAGATATTGATTATATATTGATATATAATTTCTATTATATAATATATATTGATAAACATATATTGATAAAGATGAAAGCTTTAAGTGCTGTTTATCTGATGGGGGCAGTTTCGGTGGTCTTGCACGGTTCTCCTCAGAAATCTCCTGAAAAACGAATAATAACCGTTGTGACTGGACGTTAAGTAAATACAGACTCTCTGACTTTTACACTGTGCTGGACAGTGACCTAAATGTGTGTTGAATGATTTCTGATTAGTGTTGATGTTGACGGACTGTATTAATGTGTTTATGTGTGAATACCTCTCCACCACAGGTTGGAGAGATTGAGGAGCAGCTGGCAGCTGCAAGGAGGGAAGTGACCAAAACTGAAGAAGCCAATCAGAAGCTGCAGAGAGAGATCAAGGAGGTACGGGGGTTGAGGGTTCAAACCGCAGCTGCGCAACATTACCCACCCATAATGCACCCTCACAGCTGTTTAAATAGCTAGGAAAGTATTCAGCACATCATGAAATCTCAAAGCGCAGCACATTTTAATTTGATTAAGTTACTTCAAAGTTTGTTCAGTTGAGAACTATTGTTGTGGGTCTACATGAATTAGAAATCATAACTCATTCTCTTTCTGCACTGTGATGTGTTTGTGAGTTCCTTCCGCCAAATTATAGTTCCTTAACAAGCAGCTTGTTGCTCCATCAGAGTAACGAGCTCCACCCACTCTCTGCACAGCCGGCAGTTCGTTCTCCAGTTCCTCACACTAAATTCCCAAACTGTCATCACCACTGAGCAGCTTTTCTGTTTTTTACTGCAGCAGTTTTATGGCTCAGTCTGATTTGGACAGACTCTGAAGATCAGACTACACGTTTGGCGAATGGTATTGGGTTCATTTCTGGCTGATTCCAGGTTGTTTAGCTGTTCTTCTGTCACAGCTGCCAACTGAAAAGCTGCTCAGTGGTGATGGGTTTGGGAATTTAGTGTCGTCTCATCTTCAGAGTCTGACCAAATCGGCTGTCGGTCAAATGTGATCTTAAAAGTATCCGTTTTCTGTTTGTGCACAAAGTAAGAGGTGAAAACATTCAAATGGCCTGAGCGTCTCCTACAGCTGTCAAAGTCGTTGCTTAGCAACGGCGTTTTAGTGGAGTGATACAGTGTTTGTGAAAAACCTGTGATGTTATGGTGAAATAACAGCACAGTTAGAACATTTCTCAACCAATCAGCTTGCGTGGCCAGAACAGTTGTATAAATATATATGTATACATATATACATATATATATATATATATATATATATATATATATATATATAAAACGACCTTATATATGGCATTTTTCTGCAGCTTCTAGTGCAAAATAATTATTTCTTTATGGATATTAACTGATTTTAACATGTTGGATGAAAAAAACAAAACTTTTTAAATTTAAAATGAGCCATAACTTTTACACAGGCCTTATTTTATGTTTTGTCCCTCTTCCAAAAAAAACAGTAATTGTGCATTAAATTGTGCAAAAATGTGAAGTGTGTTCTCTGTTGATGATGTTCTAGAAAATGTAACGCGTCATTTGACGTCACAGTTTGTGACATCACAAAACCAACCTAATTCAAAAAGAGATAATTTTGCAGATTCATTTCGGTATATGGACCAGAGAGGGAAAGTAAGGTTAGGTAAAAATTGTTTACACACTACAGCAGACTCTTTATTTCACAGAAGTGAGGACGATGTGGTTATCAGCCCTTTAAACTTTCAGCATATTCATCCTCACAGTTTAATCTCTTTCCTAACAGCCGGCGAAAATCAATTTGGGCTAAAAAATGAGGGCATGTTTTTTTGAATATTGTTCTGGAATCAATTCCAACGTCCAAAATTTGATGGGGTGAGTCACCAGCTTCAGATCGATGCTTCATGATGTATCCGAGCGTTTTACGCCCTCTAGTCAGTGTGTGTGATTAATTGTTGCTACAGTGGTTAATGTGGAGGTGGGTGTGTGTGTCTGCTGCAGCGGAATTCTTCAAAGCGTCCCTCAAATAACAAGCTGTCTGTCATTTGTCTGTAGGAGATGTCTAATTTTCTATAATAACGGTGGCTTGTTATGCTTTGTGCAGCAGCAAAAACTATTTGCCAACTTGGCAGCGGCCACCGTTTCATGTCACGACGCAGTTCTTCGGGAATTTTTCTTTTGTGATAAGAATCTTTTTAATGTGAAAGTGCTCCGGGGGCATTTTCATCCCCGTCGCTATTCCTGCGTTTCTGACAGACTGAAGGAGCGTGTCTCTCGTAGTGGAAGCTTTTCCTGCTCTCTCCTCTACATTTCCCTCTATCACTCTCTGTCTGCCTCCTCCTGTCTCTCCAGCTCTCTCCTCATTGTTTCTCCTCGTCTGTCCGCCCTGCTCCTCTCTCTCTCCGCTCTCTCCTCTGTCTGTTATGTAAGCGTCTCTCTCGGTTCTCCTGCTGTTTGTGGCTGTTGTGCAACAGCTGATTTTATTCACCCACGTTTGAAGTAAACAGGAGTCCCTAAACGCACCATTAGCATTCCCAGCTACTGTGTGGACATGAACCCAATCACAGCAGTGCTAGTCAGTGTGTGAGTGCGTGTGCATGTGTGTGTGGGTGTGTGTGTGTGTGTGTGTGTGTGTGAGTGTGTGTGTGTGAGTGTGTGTGTGTGTGTGTGTATATATGTGTGTGAGTGTGTATGTGTGAGTGTGTGTGTGTGTGTGTGAGTGTGTGTATGTGTGAGTGTGTGTCTGTGTGTTTGAGTGTGTGTGTGTGTGTGTGTGTGAGTGTGTGTGTGTGTGTGTATATATATATATATATATATATGTATATATGTATGTATGCATGCAGTTATTCCATGTTAGTACATGCATGCTACGTGTTTTGGATTCATTAAAACATATTAGTTTTGATATTGTATTCTTATAACAAACCGTTATTACATATAGATAGGTACATATACATATTGTTACCTATAGGTATTAGTATGTTATAGATATAGGACTTTATTATTACATATGGAGACGTACACATACACTGAAAAAAACGTTTCTTGAGTTGATTTAAATTTACATGATTGAAATATGTATATTGGCAAAACATGAATGAAATATGTCACATCAGCATAATTACTGTGTGTAATAATTACTGTCATGTAAATTCAACAACTTTTTTTTTACATAGCCTTTTTAGAGTTTTGGTTCTTTTTCATCTCTCTCCCTCTCTCTCTCTCTCTCTCTCTCTCTAGGCTCTGTGTCAGAGGGAGGACATGGAGGAGAGAATTACCACATTAGAGCGCAGGTAAGGTCTTGAGTCTTTTCTGTGGTTTTCTGTGCTGTCTTTTCTGTTTATGACATTCATTTATTCTATTTTTAAACATTATATACAACACAGTGGTCACAGTCACACTGGTCACAGTCATGAGTCGTACAACGCACCCAGCGTCAGTCACGTATGCAGAAACGTGTGCAGGTTCATTCAGAGCTGTGGGGCATGGAGCAGGAGGTGGTGAATACAGTGCACATGAATGAGCCGATGCGAAGTTTCCATAAAGAAAAAACGCTGTAATCCCGATTTGTCCCACCTGGGGCTCCACACAGTGTCTGAGAGGTTCATCTGTTGTAGAGATCACACACTGAACCTGGGTGTAAAAAAGCCACTGGCCCCTCCAACGAAGTCTGACCTCTGACTTCTAAATGATTATTTCAGACTCACCATATTTTAGCCTGTTTTTATTCTCCTCAGTAATGATACTTCATTCAGTTTTAACAAATACATCTTACACAGTGCTGATTTAAAAAGCCCTAGTTAAGAGATGGAATGTAAGCCACATAAGAGCATTTGATATTTAGAAATATTATAATTTAATAATAATAAAATTTATAAATATTATTTATTTTTTTTATTCTTTTGTGTAAATAATCAAGATCAGAATGTCAATAATATTGTTTTCATCACATAAACATGGTTTCTGATTTTCATGACTGACATCCAGTAAGAGCAACAATGTCTGCATGTTCCAACCAATGGGTGTATATATCATGTATATTATATACAGTTAATGAATGTATGATATATATCATATACAGTCAATGACTGTGTATGTCATATATATCATATACAGTCAATTAGTGTAGCATACATGTCATATGTATCATATCGTAAATGAAAGTATATATCATATATACAGTCAAGTAACGTGTAATATATATCATATATGGTCAACGAGTATATATATATATATATATATATATATATATATATATATATATATATATATATATATATATGTCCATGGGGGTCCTGACCACTGTAGAACAAGTAAAAGGGGGCTAACAAAGTATGCAGAGAAACAGATGGACTACAGTCTGTAACTGTAGAACTACAAAGTGCACCTATACATATATATATATATATATATATATATATATATATATATCATACAGTCAGTTAGTGTATCATATATCATATACAGAGGATGAGTAAATATATTATATGTATCACACATACAGTCAATGAGTGTATATATCATATATACCGTCTGTGGTTTAGCTCCCCCGTGATTGCAGTCTGTTGCTCTTGTTCTTACAGCTTGTGGCTTCTTGTTACAGTGGAGACTCTCACTTTACTATTGCTTTTGTTAGTGTCCAGACCTGTCCAGTGTAGTCTGCTGAAGGCGACCTCCAGAGCTAACGTTACTTTATATTACTGACTTTGCCGTGTGAGCACTTTGCTTTGCTTGTAAATGATGCTTCAGACTCACTGTACTTTGGTGATAAACGCATTCACAGCATTGCAGTAGCTGGAAATGAGTTTGGTTTTTCAAGAGATCCATCAGAGGAACATATCATTTAAAAGGTGTATTTGAATGAGGGGGCTACAATCGCAGAGTCATAGAAACAGCACACGAGCATCGAGGCCTCGGCGTGGGCCTGCGGATGGTCAAACCAGAAAGATGTGTTAACTCTGACCCACCAAAATGTTAAAAGGGATATAACAGTGTGTGGAATCTACAGTGCTGTGATAAAAGGGGTGTGCTAAGCTGTGGTGTGTGCACTGCTGTGGCGTTTAGAAACACTATTTTCATTATATAAAACCAATTTATTTCCAGGTTTGAGGTTATTAAATTATGACGCTATTCTCCAACTTTAAAGGTGTCAGCGAATTTATATTAAGCTGTAATAAAAATGAAAAATGTTAGATGTGTCTAGGATGATTTAGAAGATGCAGTAAGGACTGAGAACCGTTTTAAAAGGGGTTTTAGCTCTAACCAGTGTTTTAAAAGACACAGAATTGCGTGATATTTTAACTGGGCGATTTGATGTACAGTATATGTCTAAAAGTTATGTTTATATGTGTGTGATTGTCCTGCAGGTACCTCAGTGCCCAGCGGGAGGCGACGTCTCTCCACGACATCAAAGACAAGCTGGAGAACGAACTGGCCAGCAAAGAGTCTCTCTACAGACAGGTACGAGAGTCAATTCAGCTTCCAGTTTCTATAGTGTGTTAAAATGTGCAAACGTGTGCTGTCTGTAGAGGATGTGTTCACTTATTTACACTTAGAAAATCAACAACAACACGTCATTTCAATCAATCAATCAATCAATCAATCAATCAGTCTTTATTAACCTCGGAGAACATTGAGGGTGACCCTCATTTTCAATGTGGCCGAGTTGATACAGAAAAAGGGATTGATAATGCGTGAAAACATATCAAATAATAAATATAATTAAAGAAAAAAAATCATAAAAATGATTAAAAAATAAATAAACAATAAAAAAAATCAGGTAAGTATAAAAAATGAAACATTAATAATAAAAATACAATAGAAAATATAACAAGAATTAAAATGTAGATAAAATGTAAAATCAAAAGAGGATAAAAAAAACAAAAGGAGGATAAGATAAAAAAAGAAACAAAAAATTAATTAAAATGACTAAAATAATAAAATAATCATGATGAAAATAAGAGTAAGAATATGAATAATAATAAATAAACAAATAAGTAAATAGTAAAATAATGAAAATAAGACAGTAATCGTAAAAAATCAGGTAAAACAGTTGACAGTTGACCGGGGTGCCTAAACTTTTGCATACGGCCGTATAAGTCTGTGCTCTAACAGTGTCCATATTACATGATATCACAAAGCTGTGCGGTCATCAGTCGTCTGAGGCCTGATTCACACATACTGCGTCTGCGTGGTTTCATTTCAGCGGCCATGTTAACTGGTCATCGCACAAATGTTTACACCCCCAGCGGAGCGTGAGAGGAGTGTCAGGATTCGGTCATCTTGTTTTTTTTCCTCTCTCACTGAGAGTTTATTTTGGGCTCCAGGAGAAAAGTTACTGGACCTCGGCGTGAATTCGTCAGTCTTCAAAGCATTTCATTCACCTGTAGCGTTCGAGAGCGTTTGGAGCGTTACTCCATCCCACGCTGGCATTCCAGCGGTCACCACAGATATGGACAAAACAAGCCAAGAAAACCAAAGGGCTCCGAACATGACGGCAGTACATCTTACGAAATGTCTGCTGTCGTAGGGCGTAGCGGTTTGGGGGTTGACTCTCTGTGATCAGAGCTTTCAGATGTGGATTGGAGGAATTTTGTTCGGGGTTTCTGTGTAAAGTCTGGACTCGTATCCCTCAGCCTTCAACACCATGGAATGGATTTTGCAGAGAGATTTATGATGCTGGGCTTTTTATGTCTCCTCAGCTCAGCAAGACACTATGTATCTGTGTTTATCTCAGCCTCTTAAACTCTCCGCAGTCATTATAGTGATTATATCCGTCGTTGGTTAGGGTTATCAGCATAGGCGGCAACTACAGGGGGGTATTGGGCCATTGGGCCCCCAAAACTAACTTCTTTCTCCAGCACACAGGGTTGCCAGATTCACAAGTTTCTTGACAAATCCGAGGGGTCTGAAAGGGCAGAATAGAGGAGGAGCTGCGTATGTAACGCAGCAAAATACAGTGAAATAAGCCATTAGAATAAAAAACAGAAAACCCCACCAGACTTTCAAAAACGCAAAGTCTCTCATTAATTACAGTTAACAAATAAAATGCTGTCTAAACATTGTGTGCTGCAGATCAATTTCCCAGTTGGTCAACTAGGCTGAAACTGTCAGGCAATCACAGTCAGAAAGCTGTCCATGTACGGATGTATCTGCTCTTTAAAGAGTTATGTTTTTATTGAGCAGACTGGCTGATTTGATTTGACCGTTTATCCATTTGGTTAAAGGATTCTGTGTAACTTTCTTGCTGCTGTGCACAGCAGAACAAACGCTGTGTGTGCGTGACCCATGCATTCACAGTGTAGTGCACAATATAGTACACAGTGTAGGGCACAGTATAGTGCACAGTGTAGGGCACAGTATAGTACACAGTGTAGGACACAGTATAATGCACAGTGTAGGACACAGTATTGTCCACAGTATAGTGCAGAGTGTAGGAGACACTATAGTACACAGTGTAGGGCACAGTATTGTCCACAGTATAGTGCAGAGTGTAGGACACACTATAGTACACAGTATAGTACACAGTGTAGGGCACAGTATAGTGCACAGTGTAGGGCACAGTATAGTACACAGTGTAGGGCACAGTATAGTACACAGTGTAGGACACAGTATAGTGCACAGTGTAGGACACACTATAGTACACAGTGTAGGACACACTATAGTACACAGTGTAGGGCACAGTATAGTGCACAGTGTAGGACACACTATAGTACACAGTGTAGTACACAGTGTAGGACACAGTATAGTACACATTGTGGGGTACAGTGAAGTGCACAGTATAGAACGCAGTATTGTGCACAGTATAGTACACAGTGTAGGGCACAGTATAGTACACATTGTGGGGTACAGTGAAGTGCACAGTATAGAACACAGTATTGTGCACAGTATAGTACACAGTGTAGGGCACAGTTTAGTGCACAGTATAGTACACAGTGTAGGGCACAGTTTAGTGCACAGTATAGTACACACTATTGTGCACAGTATAGTACACACTATTGTGCACAGTATAGTGCACAGTGTAAGGCACCTTATAGTACACAGTATTGTGCACATTGTAAGGCACAGTATAGTACATAGTCTAAGGCACAATGTAGTACACAGTACAGTACACAGTATAGTACACACTATTGTGTACAGTATAGCACACAGTGTAGGGCACAGTATTGTGCACTGTATAGTACACAGTGTAGGGCACAGTATAGTACACAGTATTGTGCACAGTATAGTACACAGTGTAAGGCACAGTATAGTGCACAGTATAGCACACAGTGTACGGTATAGAACACAGTAGTGTGAACTGTAGCAGTCAAATAACCGTATCTCTCTTGCCCTGCAACAGAACAGACAGCACAAAGATACTTAAAACCCACCAGAACCTGAAACTGACCCAAAATGTGTCCAACCGTAAACGTCTGAAACAGGGTTTAAAAACACAACACATTTATTAAAATAATCTCTACATCTAATGAATCTTATATAAACTTGTATCACTCGTGTGTAAAACCAGTCCGCGCCCTCCTCCTCTGTTCTGTAGATACCTGGCGCTCCAGTGCCGCTCTGCTCGCGAAGCCTCTGTGAAACCTCTGACATGTTAACATGAGCGCTGAAATGAAAAGCAGCGCCGCTCGCGCCGCCGGAGAGCGTGTTTAAATTCAAATATTTTCACTTAATGATAATATCAATGATCATGAGTGATCACATTATACACCTGATCACAGAAGTGTTTGATATCAAAAATAAAATAAATGATTAATAACTTATATATATTCCCCATGAGTCCTGCTCTTACTTCAGTGTCCTTCCCCCGAATTAAATGTCTGTCATCAGGTTAGGACATCAATTCAAATTCTGCCTCCCCCCATGTTTAACTCGGGTTGGTGCTCATGGTTCAGAATCAGTAATCAGTAGTGCTGGGAAAATTATATGCCTTAATTACATCTTAATGTTCTCTCTCTCTCTCTCTCTCTCTGTCTCTCTCTCTCTTTCTCTCTCTCTTTCTCTCTCTACTTCTCTCTCTCTCTCTCTCTCTCTCTTCTCTCTCTCTCTCTCTACTTCTCTCTCTCCTCTCTCTCTCTCTTCTCTCTCTTTCTCTCTCTACTTCTCTCTCTCTCTCTCTCTCTCTCTCTCTTCTCTCTCTCTCTCTCTCTCTCTCTCTCTCTCTTTCTCTCTCTACTTCTCTCTCTCTCTCTCTCTTTCTCGTAGAGTGAGGAGAAGAACAGGCAGTTGCAGGAACGGCTGGACGATGCTAAGCAGAAGCTCCAGCAGACCCTGCAGAGAGCCGAAACACTGCCGGAGATCGAGGCTCAACTCGCTCAGAGAGTGGCTGCTTTAAACAAGGTACTGACTATACACTGACCACTCACACTGACTACACACTGACCACCCAGACTGACTATACACTGACCACTCACACTGACTACACACTGACCACTCAGACTGACTATACACTGACCACTCAGACTGACTACACACTGACCACTCACACTGACTATACACTGACCACTCACACTGACTATACACTGACCACTCAGACTGACTACACACTGACCACTCACACTGACTATACACTGACCACTCAGACTGACTACACACTGACCACTCACACTGACTATACACTGACCACTCACACTGACTATACACTGACCACTCAGACTGACTACACACTGACCACTCACACTGACTATACACTGACCACTCACACTGACTACACACTCACACTGACTATACACTGACCACTCACACTGACTATACACTGACCACTCACACTGACTATACACTGACCACTCAGACTGACTATACACTGACCACTCACGCTGACTACACACTGACCACGCACACTGACTATACACTGACCACTCACAATGACTACACACTGACCACTCACCCTGACTATACACTGACCACTTACACTGACCACTCAAACTGACTATACACTGACCACTCAGACTGACTACACACTGACCACTCACACTGACCACTCAAACAGACTATGCACTGACCACTCACACTGACTACACCCTGACCACTCACACTGACCACTCACACTGACTATACTCTGGCCACTCACACTGACTATACACTGACCACTCACATTGACTATACACTGACCACTCACATTGACTATACACTGACCACTCACAACGACTACTCACACTGACTATACACTGACCACTCACACTGACACATTGACTATACACTGACCACTCACTGACCACTTACTGACCACGCTCACTGACCACTCCCATTGACCACAGTTACTATACACTGACCACTCACTGACCACTTACTGACCATGCTCACTGACCACTCCCATTGACCACACACATTTACTATACACTGACCACTCACACTGACTATACACTGACGACTCACTGACTACACACTGACCACTCACACTGACTATACACTGATCACTAACACTAACTTTTCACTGACCACTCACACTGACTATACACTGACCACTCACTGACTACACACTGACCACTCACACTGACTATACACTGACCACTCACTGACTACACACTGACCACTCACACTGACTATACACTGATCACTAACACTAACTTTTCACTGACTGCTCACACTGACACACTGACTATACACTAGCCGCTCACTGACTATACACTGACCACTCACACTAACTATTCACTGACCACTCACTCTGACACACTGAGTACACACTGACCTCTCACATTGACACACTGACTATACACTGACCACTCACACTGACTATGTACTGACCACCACTTTGACTACTCACACTGTCTACACACTGACTGTTCGCTGATCACTTACTAACTATACATTGACTAAACACTGAACATTCACGCCGACTATACACTGACCACTCACACTGACTACACACTGACCACTCACGCTGACCACACACACATACTGACTATACACTGACTACACACTGACCACTCACACCAACTACACTGACCATTCACACTGACTATTCACTGACCATTCACAATGACTATACACTGACCACTCAGACTGACTACACATCTAACTCTACACTGACCACTCACACTGACTATACACTGACCACTCACAATGACTAACTCTACACTGACCACTCACACTGACTACACACTGACCACTCACTCTGACTATACACTGACCACTCACTCTGACACACTGACTAGACACACTGACCACACACTCACCCCTCACTGACCACACACTTTTGTGTGTGTGTAGAAAAAGCACAAACATCTGAAAAGAGTCCATTTCACCAAAATAATCTTTAGTCTTTCTCCCTCTGCGTGCGTCTGTCTCTCTCTCTCTCTTTCTCTCTCTCTGTCTCTCTCTCTCTGTTCCTCTTCCTTCTGGCGCAGGCTGAGGAGCGCCATGGCAACTTTGAGGAGCGACTGCGACAGATGGAGGCACAACTGGAGGAGAAAAACCAGGAGCTGCAGAGAGTGAGTCATGCTTTTTCCTTACCCCTCTCTCCCCATCTCTCCCTCTCCCTCCCTATCTCTCCCTCTCCCTCCCTATCTCTCTCTCTCTCTCTCTCTCTCTCTCTCTCTTTCTCTCTCTCCCTTTCCCTCCCTATCTCTCTCTCTCTCTCTCTCTCTCTCTCTCTCTCTCTCTCCCTTTCCCTCCCTATCTCTCTCTCTCTCTCTCTCTCTCTTTCTTTCTCTCTCTCCCTTTCCCTCCCTATCTCTCTCTCTCTCTCTCTCTCTCTCTCTCTCTCTCTTTCTCTCTCTCCCTTTCCCTCCCTATCTCTCTCTCTCTCTCTCTCTCTCTCTCTCTCTCTCTCCCTTTCCCTCCCTATCTCTCTCTCTCTCTCCCCCTCTCTCTGGACTTGTAGTGGAAGATTAAACAGAAGGCCTCAGCTGCGTTTACTCTGTATGTCCATAAGTATTCAGACGGTCCTTCTAATCAGTGAATTCAGCCACTTTCAGTTGTGCCCATTGCTGACACAGGCAGCTCGCACAGCTTGTATAATCTCTGTGGAACAGCGCTGACCATAACAATGGGCCACTGGTGCTATTTTGAGAGTATTTGTGCTATTTATGCTGTATTTGGTGACGTTTATGGGGGGTTTGGTGTTTTTTTGGGGGGTTTGTGGTATTTGAGGGTGTTTGGGGTATTTAGTGGTATCTTGGGGTATTTGGTGGTATTTCGAGGGTGTTATGGGGTGTTTTAGGGTGTTTTGGGTGTTTAGGGGTATTTGCTGGTATGTTGGGGTGTTTGGGGTTTTTGGTGTTGTTTTAGGGGTATTAGTAGTATTTTGATGGTTTTTTGGTGATGGTTTGGAAAATCTTTGACATATTTGGTGATGTTTTGGGGTGTTTACTTGGTGGAGTTTAGGGGTATTTGTTGGTGTTTTGGGGTGTTTAAGGGGTATTTGGTGGTGTTTTGCTAGAAATTATGGGGTTATTTTGGGGGGCAGTGTTGGTGCAGTTGGAAGAAGTGTATTTTTAAAATGGTGAGCTGATGTGCATCTTAAAAGTGAAACGGTCTCTCTCTCTCTGTACTTCTTTCTCTGTGTCCCTCGCTCGTTCTCTTGCTCTCTCCCTCTCTCAGTCTCTCTCTATATGCTCCTGTGAGTGGGCTTGTTTTGCATGTACATGTGCGTGTGAGGAGAGTGTGTGGGTTCATTTTTCTTGTTTACGTTTTCTCCACATGCCCCCCCCCCAAACACACACACACGTCAGCGGCTCAAAGGACTGTAAACATGCATCGGTCTGAAGGTGGCGATTCAGCTGCATCGATTTTGGAACATTATAAACAATTATGATAATAAAATTAAGTAAAAATGTGAAATATGATCAAATATAATAGAAGGGTTTCATTACGAAACACATTATAGACCCATTTAAAGATCTGTCATTTTTATACATTATACACACAAGAAATAGAAATGCTATATGATGATTAATACCACCTTTATTAGAGGAGTAAAAATATGTTTTCCTGTGCCTGTTCTCTGACCACGGTTTTGGATTGCGATTGAAACATTAAAGCCTTGCTTTCTCTTAGTTATTCTGCCTCGTTACAGGAATTAAAATCTTTAGTTATTATAAAAAAAATATGTATATTAAAAATTTGTTTGGCCAAATAAAATTGCCGCTATTTTCAAAAGGTAAAAATCCGAAAAAAGGGTCCATGTTTTGTTTTTATTGTCTATATTCCGCTACTGTGTCAGCAGTTCCTCAAGTCTCATTTACATATTCAGTGTAACTTTAACAATAATTCCACATCATATCAAAACAATCAAATCAAATCAGGGTGAAATTATACCACAATTATTAAATATAATTGTTACGAGGATTAACACTTCCAACGATTCACTCTCTCTCTTTCTCTCTCTCTCTCTCTTTCTCGCTGTATCTCTCTCTGTCACTCTCTCTCACTCTGTCTCTCTCTCTCTCTCTCTATCTCTCTCTCTGTCTCTCTCTCACTTTCTCTCTGTCTCTCTCTCTCTCTCTCTCTCTCTCTCCCTCTCTTCCCCAGGCAAGGCAGAGAGAGAGAATGAATGATGAACACAATAAGCGTCTTTCGGACACGGTGGACAAGCTGCTGTCCGAATCAAACGAGCGCCTGCAGCTCCACCTGAAGGAGCGCATGGCCGCACTGGAGGAAAAGGTGAGTTCGCTGACCGTTCAGTGTCCTTTATAATTAGCACTGAAGGCTAAAACGTGATCAGTTGCTTTTCCTTGTTTTCTTGTTTCTCTACTCTCTCAGAGGAAATCTTGTCCTTAATTATGTTAATATAATCCTTCAGATTGTACAGGCAGGTAGAGTGTGGTCATTTCTGTGAGTGTGTGAGGTGCAGCTGTTTGACCCCCTGCTCCTCCCATTATTGATCAAAAGGACCATTTGGATTTAAAGCAGTGTTTCAGTTGCTGACGGTGTGAAACTCTGTCCCTCAGAACGCGCTGTCTGAGGAACTGGCCAATATGAAGAAGATCCAGGACGACCTGCTCGCAAACAAGGTGGGTTCCTCTCTGAGACCACCTGCAGGACGGAGCAGTACACTGACGTTCCTCTGATTACCCCCCCCCCCCACCACCACCACCACCACTCTCTTCTACTTTCTTTTAATTTCCTTTCCTTTCATCTCATCACCTCTTCTCTCCTTCTTCCTTCCTTTTATTTCCTTCCCTTCAATGTCCTTTCCTTTCCTTTCCTTTCCTTCCAGCTCCTTTCCTTCCAGCTCCTTTCCTTTCTGTCCTGTCTCCCCTTTCCTCTCCTTTTTTCCACCAATTTCCTTTCCCTTCCTTTCATCTCCTCCCTTCTCTTCCTTTCCCTTCCCTCTCCCCTTTCCTGTCCTGTCCTGTCCTGTCTTGCCCTTTCTTTCTTTTCCTTTAATCTCCTGTCTTCCTTCTTCTCTCCTACCCTTTCCTCTCTTCCTTCCCTCTCTTCCTCTCCACCAATTTCCTTTCCTTTTTTCCTTTCCTTTCCTTTCCTGTCCTGTCCTGTCCTGGCCTGGCCACTCTGTACTTTTGCTTTGTTTAAATCTCCTCTCTTCCACCTCCTTCCCTTCTATTTCCTCTCCTCCATTCTTTTCATTTCCTTTCCTTCATTGTCCTGCCACTTTCACCAATTCCTGTCTTTTATTTTCTGTTCCTTTTATCTTCCCTTCTCCTCCACTTCCCTTCTTTTCTCATTCCTTTCCTTTCCTCTCCTCTTTCCTTTTCTTATCCTCCTTCCTTTCCTTTCCCTCTCCTCTTTCCTTTCCTTTCCTTTCCTACCAACTCTTCTCTCATTTGTTCACCTTTCCTTCTTCTTTCTTCTCTTCTCACTTCTCCTTTCCTCTCCTGTTTTTCTTTCCTCAGGATCAGCTCATTGCGGAGCTGGAGCGGCTGCAGGCAGAGCTGGATCAGCTCAGAGGAAGGCCAGGCTCCTCCTACTCCCGGTAAGCCCCTCCCTCTCTTTGAAGAAGAAGATAGTCCGCATTAAAGCCATTTTAGTCCAGCATTTTAAGCTGTTATCTCTGCGTTCATAACGTATGGCTGATTATTACAGACACTGATTTTTGATTTGTCTCGAGTCAAAAAGCTTTCATAGTGGAGAGAACCCACTGACTCGAGATACAGTCATAATAAAGTGTCTTAGATGTGTCTGTATTATCAGATGTCATTTATTGAAGGGTCACTGTACAGCTCTGCGCTGCTTTATTCTCTGACCGCTCCTGTCCTCCTCCGCTGTCTCCTGCAGGTCTCTCCCTGGCAGTGCTTTGGAGCTGAGGTATTCCCAGGGGGGCGGCTCCTTACCGGCAGGCTCCACCTCTCACATGGATCACTATGGCAGCACGGGCTCAGGGGGCGTGGTCAGACGGGCGCACCGTGGGCGCTGGGGCGGAGCCAGGGAGGACGCCAGCAAGGTGAGGAGTTTCAGATAACCTTTAGTGCTGCAGTAATAAACCCACACACAATGTATTTCAAATAAACAAGATATTAAATCATAACTGCATTTTCACAGAGGATCAATACCTACAACACTCGCTTTTGCCGTATTAAAGGATCGTATGTTAAAATTAAGATACTGGAATATAAATTCATTTTAAAAGGTATCAAACAGTGAAATGCATTAGACAGGATTTGGCTATTTTCATACATTTTCAACTGTATTTGATAAACACACCAATCAGGCATAACATTCTGACCACCTCCTTGTTTCTACACTCATTGTCCATTTTATCAGCTCCACTTACTATATAGGTGCACTTTGTAGTTCTACAGTTACAGACTGTAGTCCATCTGTTTCTCTGATACTTTGTTAGCCCCCTTTTACCCTGCTCTTCAGTGGTCAGGACCCCCATGGACCCTCACAGAGCAGGTACTATTTGGGTGGTGGATCATTCTCAGCACTGCAGTAACACTGACGTGGTGGTGGTGTGTTTGTGTGTGTTGTGCTGGTGCGAGTGGATTAGACACAGCAGTGCTGCTGGAGTTTTTAAACACTGTGTCCACTCACTGTCCACTCTATTAGACACTCCTACCTTGTCAGTCCACCTTGTAGATGTAAAGTCAGAGACGATAGCTCATCTGCTGCTGCACAGTTTGTGTTGGTCATCCTCTAGTCCTGGTTCAGTGGTCACAGGACGCTGCCCACAGGACGCTGTTGGCTGGATATTTTTGGTTGGTGGACTATGCTCAGTCCAGCGGTGACACTGAGGTGTTTAAAAACTCCAGCAGCACTGCTGTGTCTGATCCACTCAGACCAGCACAACATACACTAACACACCACCACCACATCAGTGTTACTGCAGTGCTGAGAATGATCCACCACCCAAATAGTACCTGCTCTGTGAGGGTCCATGGGGGTCCTGACCACTGAAGAGCAGGGTAAAAGGGGGCTAACAAAGTATCAGAGAAACAGATGGACTACAGTCTGTAACTGTAGAACTACAAAGTGCACCTATATAGTAAGTGGAGCTGATAAAATGGACAATGAGTGTAGAAACAAGGAGGTGGTCAGAATGTTATGCTTGATCAGTGTACATGTACATACATTTACTTTGGTATGGTACATTTGTAGGTGTAATATTTCCCCATACATTTTAAGATAAATATATTCTGAAATACATTTTAGTGTGTGGAATGTATCATAGATTGCAATGTATTTGCCGTCAATTTCAAATGTACAAAAATACATGTCAGTGTATTTTTCTCCATATGGGAATGCATGTAGCTTTTTCTGTCACTAGTTCAATGAATACATAGTTTAAGTAGAGCTACTGGGGGTCAGCAGAGGGGCCAAGGGGAGGGGATGAAGGTGGATGGCAGGAGGTGAAGGGGGACAGGGCAAAGGTTGGAGAAGAAGCTGAAGGAGGGAGGATCAAAGGGTAGGGGAAGAAGGTGAAGGGGGTCTGGGGTCAGGGGATGGTGGAGATGTTCCCACCTCAGGAGGACAATACAGATCCAACTTCAAACAACTGTAAGACGATACAGCTGACTTAAAGGACATGTGAACGGACATATACTTTCTGTTTGATGGAGTTAAACATCTGAAAGGTTTTAGCGCTGACATCACAACGAGGGGACACACTGTGTGGCCTTTGGCTTTATTCCCAAAGTAACCGGTCACTAATATTGGCAAATAAGACCTGTGTGCTGCACTTTGTTTGAGATTCTGCCTAAAACCATTCAGCGTTGCGTCACCTGACCCGAATACTGCGCCAGAGGTGGCTTATGAGGAGCCTGTCAGGCTGTCGGGCTAGGGAGCCTCTTCCTATTTCCCTCGTTGTATCAAATACAGGACTACAAAACAGCAGAGGGCCAGTTCTCAATAAATGGGGGTGAGTGGAGCTCAACGGCTAAAAATGAAAAGTTAAAATAGTTTCTAATCACTCGCCCAGAACTTTCCTTTAATTTCAGAAAGTAGAAGTGTAAATTTCACTAAAGAAGTAAAGAAAACTCACCTGTATGTTTGATTTTTACTACAGCAAACAGGGTTTTGGGCAGCAGGACGCTAACATTACTGATACAGAGTGCTGATAGGTTAGCATTACTGCTACTGGGTGCTGTTTGGTTAGCATTACTGCTACTGAGCGCTGATTGGTTAGCATTACTGCTACTGAGTGCTGATAGGTTAGCATTACTGCTACTGAGTGCTGATTGGTTAGCATTACTGCTACTGGGTGCTGTTTGGTTAGCATTACTGCTACTGGGTGCTGTTTGGTTAGCATTACTGCTACTGAGCGCTGATTGGTTAGCATTACTGCTACTGAGTGCTGATAGGTTAGCATTACTGCTACTGAGTACTGATTGGTTGGCATTACTGCTACTGAGTGCTGATTGGTTAGCATTACAGCTACTGAGTGCTGATTGTTAGCATGACTGCTACTGAGTGCTGATTGGTTAGCATTGCTGCTACTGGGTGCTGATTGGTTAGCATTACAGCTACTGAGTGCTGATTGTTAGCATTACTGCTACTGAGTGCTGATTGGTTAGCATTACTGCTACTGAGTGCTGATTGGTTAGCGAGCGGAGCAGCTCACTGGCTGTTCCCACTCACTGACGTCATGAACGTACATGAGATGCCCTTTTAAACTCGTATAACTTGAGTTTAAAAGCTCTTAAAAATATAACAGCGGTGTTAAAATGTTTTATACTGCTCTTTGTTCAGAAAATGAATGTATTTTATATTAAAATGTTTACGCTCCATCTTGACCCATTTGTTTTGGACTCGCTCAGGAGCGCCCTCTAGTGTTTGAGAAACCCAGAAGACATTACAGGGTGGTAAATAGTCCTCTCTACGAGTTCTCTGACCTTGCGCTAAATCACTGAACTGATTCATCGGGTTCTGCTGGAGACCAGCGCTGGCGTTTGACCGTTTCTGCTGTATGTAGGGTTCAGAACTCGTGTTGTGATATTGTTTTCCTCTAAATTAACCTGGCTAAGCTTTAATATAGCGAGTTATTGCAAACCAAAAGGAAATCCATTGAAACGCTTTGAAAAGCTCTGTGACCAGACGTCTGTCAGGCGGAGTCTAACCCCCCTCTTCTCTGCCCGTTGTGCTGCAGTATGGAGACTGGGACAGCGGCGCTCTGCTGGGTCCGGGGTTCGAGGGTGGAGTTGAGGGCGGGTGCTCGGACGATGAGGAGGACCGCGAGACTCTGTTCGGCTCGGAGCTCCTGTCCCCCAGCGGACAGACGGACGTCCAGACGCTGGCCATTATGCTTCAGGAGCAGCTGGAGGCCATCAACAAGGAAATCAAGTGAGGAGAGGGATCAGAGCAGAGGGACCTAACAGGATGTGAATGAGTGGGACGGTTTAAATGAGAGGTTTATGTTAAACAGCCGCGAGAGCACAAAGAGCTACAGTCCTGAGGTCACAGTGAGGGAGGAAGTTCCCTCTCTCCTTCTCTCGTTCTCTTTCATCACTTCATTATAATTTTTATTATGTAGCATCCAGTGTTGTTTTCATTTGGAGTTTTATTTGGATGCGGATTAATCTGATATTTAAATATGAGTTTTTGGACTTTAATATGAAGGTCCCTGACAGCTGTATTGTCACTTGTCATGACAAAACTTCGTAAAACTTCGTAAAACATTGTTAACTTTGAACTATTTAACTAATTACATAATAGTGTACTTATAATAAGTACTTAAGCAGTACGTTGTGCAATTAATAACACATACATTAGATTTACATTCAGCATCATTCTCTATGAAACTTACAAACACAGGTGCAATATGGATTGAACACTTATAATCTGCATTTTAAAGACCCCCCCCTCTCTCTGTCTCTCTCTCTCTGCCTCTGCCTCTGTCTCTGTCTCTCTCTCTCTCTCTCTCTCTCTCTCTCTGTCTCTCTCTCTCTCTCTCTGCCTCTGTCTTTGTCTCTGTCTTTCTCTCTCTCTCTCTCTCTGTCTCTCTCTCTCTCTCTCACTGTCTCTCTCTCTCTCTCTCTTTCTCTCTCTCTCTCTCTGTGTGTCTCTCTCTCTTTCTCTGTCTCTCTCTCTCTCTGTCTCTCTCTCTCTCTTTCTTTCTCTCTCTCTGTCTCTCTCTTTCTTTCTCTCTCTCTCTCTCTCTCTCTCTCTCTCTCTCTCTCTCTCTTTGTCTCTGTCTCTCTCTCTCTCTCTCACTCTCTCTCTCTCTCAGGCTGATTCAGGAGGAGAAGGAGAACACAGAGCTGAGGGCTGAGGAGATTGAGAGCCGGGTCAGCAGCGTGGCTTTGGACGGACCCCCAGTGCCCCCCTCCTCTCTGGGTCGGGACGCCAGCGGCAGAACCTTCATCCCTCCATCCCTTACCTCCTCCACACTTGCCTCCCCCTCTCCCCCCAGCTCGGGACACTCAACCCCCCGCCTGCCCCACTCCCCCGCACGCGAAACTGACCGACAGGTACATGTGTGGATTTACACACACTCACTGTAGCTACACACAGTTTCTGTTTTAGGAATAGTTCATCAAAACACAAATTTCTACACAGTTTTTCTCTATAATTTTGATGTCGTTCATCAGGCAAGACATGTTTAGTGTCTGAAGTTTGCTGCTGTAGTTTTAGCACTGGAGCTATGAGGCTAGTCTAAAACAAGTAATGGAAGACTAAACCCCAGTTAGCATCAGACCTCATCACACACTGGCCTCAAAGCTGTGTGGAGGTGTTTAGTATCTCTATTAGACTAGATTATGAGGTTTTAGACACTGTGTGACTCACTGTTATCGATAAACATGGACTGAAGTATGTTAGCATAGCTAAAAACAGCAGCAGCTTGAATTTTGTTCATACGTTTCCCCGTGTTTATAAATAACAGTATGTCATAAAGCGTCACTTCCATAGAAATACATGCATAGATGTCACGTTGGCTGTTTTCAGAATCAGAATCACTTTATTTCGCCAAGTATGTTACACATAGAAGGAATTAGCCTTGGTGAGTCACGCATGCATGACATACAACGGCATAATGGAAAAGTCAGAATCCGCCTCTGAACAACTGAATGTGTATTGAGAAAAGATGAGTTCTCAGGATTAAATTGACCATAACTTGCTTATTACTCCACCAATTTGCATCAAATTTGTTTTGTTATAATTGTCACATTGGTCACCGACAGCTGAGTTAAGAGAGTTCAGTAATTTTTAGATTTACTGTAGATCAGATTATGATTAACATGTTTATGATCAAGATTTAAAAAGCTTTAATGTTCCTAAACGTTTGTCCTAAATTAGCTGTCATGAAAAAATGTGTTATTGCAAATACCAGATTTAAAAACAAGAGTAAGGAGCTCAGTTTCCCACAAAATGCCAAGCAGATTTCTTTATTTTGAGTTTATTTATGAGTGTGTACATGTGGGGTGCTAAAAAGTCAATTGAAAAAATAAATACATATTTAACCAGGTTGCACGGATTGCTGGAATTCTGAGTTTAACACCTACACCAGCAGAAACACGAGTGTCACACCCATCAGCAAACCCATCAGTGTGTAAACGACTTCTAATCTATTAATCTATGGCATATAAAAGCCTCAAAACACAGTAAGAAGGTGCTAATCTAAGGTGCATGTTCCAGATCGGATTAAGGTGTGGCTGGAGTTACAATGCATTTGCTCAATAATACAGTATAATATAATATAATAATAATATAATATAGTATAATATAATAATAATACACCAGTGTGTGCTCTGTGCTTCATATATACATAATAATTGCACAAACATAATGTTGACCACTGTGTTCTCCCCATTATATAATCCTGTCCAGCCTCCTGAGTGCTCTGCATTTAAACAGTATAAATTTGGACAGTGCATGTCTTAAACTGCCACTCTGTAATTGCACTGCATTGTGTGGTGATGTGTGACTGACCGCCCCAAGATGGTGGTGATTTTGTATTCAGCTCTCCACAGTTCCGCTGTGAAAGTGTACCAAGCCCAGACTTTATTGCAGACCTCATGATTGCTGAGACTTGTGTATAATTAGCCTATAAGTAGCTTCTGTTGGACATTAAAGCAGTTCAGCACAAGAGGGAGGGTGTTATGGTCAGAACCATGAACTTTTCCTTGAAATTAACTATTCCTGTAAATGAGTGAATCAATTTGCTTCACTCATCAGAACAACAAGGAAGACGACAGGTCACTGGCCCTGCTGGACTCCACCCCTCCCCCCACCCCTCGTGCACTGCGATTGGACAGGATGAGCCACACCCACCCTGGTGCTATGCTGGACGATAGCCGTGAGTTCCGCAGGTCAGTGAGCCGGGCAAAAAGTCATTTTTTTATGATCACTAATTCCGATTATTTGACAAGAAAATATCAAGCTAATTATTTTTACATAAAAATAATTACATAAAGATAATTAGCTGATAATGAGCTGAAAGGCCACAGCTGAAAGTCTGGGAATGATGGTGACATTACAGTGACTGTATATAGCAGTTTTTTAGTGACGGGCCGATCCACATTTTTTCAGTTCCGATCCGATTCCGATATACAACTGTCGATACCGATACAGATTCTGATACAAGAGCTCTTTTTACTTTAATATTATCATTATTATTGTTGTTGATATTGTGTTTAAGGTTGTATTTAAGGTGTTTCATCTTCTAATCACTAACCATATCTGTAATGGAGGCTGCAGCTGAGCTGCTGGTGTGTGTCCACCACTTTTTCACCTGACGGTTGGACAGTTCAGGTATAACAGTCTCTGAATCTCTGAAGAGTATTTCTCTAAGTTCTAAGTGCTCTAAGTTCTCCAACAGGCTGCGAGATCCAACATTGTCCTCTACTGGCAGTGGCTGGTCATTGAGGATAATGAGTTGAGCAACTTCTCTGTGATCCCTTTAGCCTTGGGGTTGTGTGCTGGAAGTTTATCTCATTTCTGGAAAGCTTCAGCAGAGAGTCGCTGCCTGGTGGTGTCTATCTGTCTGTTAGTTAGCATGAACTTCTGGTACTGTTTCATGTGAAACCTCTGCAGGTGATTAAACTGGTTGTATTGTACGACGCAGCCGCACTTCCACCTCTCGGCTCACTGGTTTCCGCACATTACAAGTAGCGGTCTTGCTTTTTTGGCGTTTCCGGACTAAAATATCTCCAAACAAACAACATTTTAATCAAACCAACAGCTGATGTTATTTGCTCACTCAGTTACAGACTGAACTCCATGTCTTTTCTGTAGAATGGAGTGAACCCAGTGTGTGTAATTGCAGTGTTTAAAAGGAAGAAGATGAGTTTATCATCGCTGCTACTCAAGGAATCCACTTCTTCTTCCTCTTCCATCTTCTTCTCATGTTTTCAGAGTGTTTACACAAAGAGAAAAGCATCTGACTTGGTGTGAAGGTCCCACTACGTTAAAATTCACATACATGTCTTGGTGTGAATAAGCTTTAAGTCTGCATGGTTCAGATATCACCAGAACCTCTTCTCTCTCTCCACAGCCTCTCAGCAGATGGCAGCAGCTCCAACAGCAGTCAGGATTCCCTCCACAAGGCCAGCAAAAAGAAAAGCATCAAGTCTTCCATCGGCCGACTCTTCGGCAAGAAGGAGAAGGGAAGAATGGGTCAGCCGGGCCGGGACTCCGCCTCGCTGGGTGAGCTGAGATAAAAATCTAAAGGCCACTTCAACACATGAGACTAAGGTCACCATGCCCAGTGTCCAGCGTGGGCTAGAGGGGTTTAAACCCCCCAGCACTGGGCTGTGGAGCAGTGGAACTGTGTTCTCTGGAGTGATGGAGCTCCATCAAATACCTTTGGGATGAGCTGGAGTGATCCAGAACTCACCATCCATCATCAGTACCTGACCTCACTAATGCTCAATCAAATCCTCACAGCAATGTTCAACATCCAGTGTAAAGTCTTCCCAGAAGCGTAGAGGCTGTTACTTCAGCAAAGAGGACGAACTCACTATTAATGCCCTTTATCTCTGTAGAAACACTGGAGAAGCAGATATAATTGTCAGACTTTGCACAATAAAATACTGTAAGCTATTTTATGCTTGTAGGTATTAAAAGTAGGTAGCGCAGTGGTTTCTGACCTTTGACCTCTGCTTCTGTTTAAGCTTCTACTCCCTCTGATGACCTCGGCTCTGTCGACCCTCTGGGTCTCACCAAGATGGCCGGGCCTGTGGACAAAGACCGCCGCAGCAAGAAGAAGTACGCCGGCCTTTGAATCCCCATCTGAACAACATTACTGTTCACTGTCAGTTATTCTGCTTCTGGTTTTGATTAGAAGACACTGGCTTTTTAATAAATATGAGGATCTTTCTCTCTTTCAGACACGAGCTGCTGGAGGAGGCGTGTCGGCAGGGGCTTCCCTTCGCTTCCTGGGACGGACCTACGGTGGTGTCTTGGCTGGAGGTGTGATTTAACATAGCTTGTCAACATGTTTTACACGTTTTGTGTCTGCTTTCTCTTTTTTGTATCGTTTACAGTACTCTTTATTATAATTTCATATATTCTCTCTCTCTCTCTCTCTCTCTCAGCTGTGGGTGGGCATGCCGGCGTGGTACGTGGCAGCGTGTCGTGCTAACGTGAAGAGCGGAGCGATCATGGCTAACCTGTCGGACACCGAGATCCAGAGGGAGATCGGCATCAGTAACCCCTTGCATAGGCTCAAACTGAGGCTCGCCATCCAGGAGATGGTGTCCCTGACCAGCCCTTCGGCTCCAGCTAGCACACGCTCTGTACGAACGCATGCAGTCTAGAACCACATACAGTAAAACCTCCCGTGCAAAAATTGAATGCACTGGTTTTAGAACAACATGCATCATCTTTAGATAATGAGTCCTTTGCACTGCAACCCAACTTTCTCCAAAAAGACACATATTTGATTTAAATATTTTATGAGGGAGCATCTTATTGAATTCACATTGTAAAGAGTTACAGTACTTCCATTTTCAATATTTCCTTGTTAAACTTTTTCAGACATTGGAAAAATATGAACATAATATTTAAACACTTAAAACAAGACAATAAGGAAATGTAAAACACAGGAAAAGCAGAAAAAAGAACGGACTGTTAAATTTAACCACAATCTCTCTGAGGATAAGAAATGAAAGGGTGCCAGATCTTTTCAAATTGACTAAAGCTACGTTCACATTACAAGCCTCAGAGCTCGAATCTGATTTTTTGCTCAAATCCGATCTCTCTGGGGGGTTCCCGAGTGGCGCAACCGTCTAAGCGTTGGCCCTATGATCAGGAGATCGCCAGTTCGATCCCTGGTGATCCTACAGCCATCCGTAGCCGGGAGTCCGAGAGAGCACAATTGGCCTCGCTCTCTCTGGGTGGGTGGGATGGCTGCCTTTCTCCCCCCATCACTCACCAAGCGCGATGCTAGTCGGCGCAGGTGTCTGTTAGCTGACGTTACAGATCTGGCGGTTGGCGCTTTCCTCCGAGCGCGTTCGGCTGTCCAGTGACGTCGCGTGAGCGGCAGCACGAAAAGATGCGGTGGCTGGTTTCACAGGTCTCGGAGGAAGCCTGTGTTAGCCTTCACCCTCCTAGTGTTGATAGCATTGTGTGATTGGGGGAGTCCTAACTAGCGGGTGGAATTGGAGACGACTAAATTGGGGAGAAAACCGGGTAAAAAAGAAAAAAAAAAAAATCCGATCTCTCTGACAGGATGGTTCACACTCGTTTAGGTAAGCGATTCAAATCTGTCATTAATATGAATGAACCAGCGTCCTGAAATGACCCGCATGAGCTCATCCTACTTAGTAACGTCACGTGAATGAATCGCGTTTATCATCAGCACAAACTAACGAGCAGAATCATATACAACACATTCCCAAATCTGTCTGAGAAACCATTTCACCATGCAGGGAAACGTATAAGCATGAAGTGGTTCTGTATAGAAGGCATGGTTACCAAAGAAGCTTGAAGAACCATCTTTTTTAAGAATGTAGTTTATAATAAATCATAACAGGTGAATTATAAGCCTGTAGTTTAAGAGCTTAACTTTAAAACATTTTTTTCTTCTCCTGAAAAGTTAGCATGTTGGAAATACGATGTTTTGGTATGACTCGGGGTGTCAGCAGGTAGCACTGTTGCCTCACAGCAAAAAGGGCCTGGGTTCGATTCCCCGGCCGGGCGACCAGGATCCTGGAGTTTGTTCTCCCTGTGTCTGTGTGGGTTTCCTCCCACAGTCCAAAGACATGCGGTCAGGCTAACTGGAGATAGTAAACGACCCCTAGATGTGAATTTCTGCCCTGTGATGGACTGGTGACCTGTCCGGGCTGTTTCCTGCCTTCCGCCCAATGAGTCCTGGGATAGGCTCCAGCACCCCCGTAACCCAGGAGGATTAGCGACTTAGATAATGTGTGTGTGTGTAATGAGTGGCAAAGTTATAATGTTGCCAAATATGGCTTCCATAAATAGTCAAATGAAGTGTAACAGCATTTTAGGCACGTTCCAGCAATAACACTATGGCATATCAAGGCATGGTTTGGGTTGATGGGGTGTTGTGTTGGGGCTTGAAACACAATAAATCTGCAGCACGTTGGCTGATTTTGGAAGACAGATTGAGTTGTTTATGAATGCGACCAAGCTCATGCTGTTCTGTCTGCGTTTGTCTGTTTGCAGTCGACCAGTAACGTGTGGATGACCCACGCTGAAATGGAGTCCCTGACCGCAGCCACCAAACCAGTTAGTAGCCTTCATTTTATAACACAAGTGCTTTGCTTATACAAATTAAAGCAACGGAGCGGTTTTTCAGCCTGATCTCTGTCTGCTGCTCTTTACTGTAGGTACTGATGTATTTACACTGTCTGTGTTTACATGCAAAGATTTTTGCCAGTCCGATTAAATACATTCCGATTCTAGATGAAGACTGAGGTGTTTGTCTGACACTACTCCTCAATCTGATAAAAATCTCCGTTTACATGCTCACAATAAGTAATCCGATCCAAAATTACACGCATGAGTAGAGAACCACTTAGTGTAGACGTTACCATGACAACCAGCATCACGTGAGTCCAGTCAGAGTGAGATGAGCAGCAGTGAGCAGTGCTTGTGTTTTTAATCGCTTTAAAATGATGTCAGACTCAGGAAAACGTCCTTCACATGTCCTTATTAAAGAAGGCTGAGAGGAAGACGTCGTGTTCTGAGACACATAAGCTGGACGTCCGTCCCACCGCCGTCTTTTAAAGACCAGAGCATAAACTTCGTCTCCTCTGCAGACCAGTTTCTGCTCCGCCATGTTGAACATTGGAAATGTAATCAGATACAGGCGTTTACACTGATATTATTCTTCTATTTATTATTTACAGGATTACCCACCTCGTTCAATCAGACAGAAATTGTATTCCGAATGGCGTCAATTGGACTGGACTATTTTGATTGAGGTGTTTACATGGACGTATTCTATTTCGATTGAGCTATTAGTCGGATTATTAACAGACTATCAGGCTGCATGTAAACGTGGCTACTGTTTAAACTGGCCTTGAGTGTTCCTTGACTTGAAATAAATGGACTAAATATATCTAAATATTACATGTATCATTCAGAATTTTGGTGCAAAGAGGTCACTTATATTGACATATTGCGCACGTTTTGGATGAAGTATATATATGTATATATATATTTTTCTTTGTTTGGAACTTTAGTGCTAGAACATCACATATATTAGTGTATATTGCATATGCACTGTATTTGGGATAATAAGGCAATATATGTGTATATATCTTTGGAACTGTGGTAATAAGACATCACATATGTTGACTTATTGCACATAAATTTTGGACAGTAAAAAGTGTATATATGTACATACATTTTTATTTGGAATTTTACTGCTAAAGCATCACATATATTGACATATCTTGCACATATTTTGGATAATGAGGGAATATATGTACGTGTGTTTTTCTTCTCTTGGAATTGCATTGCTAAGACATCACATACATTGATATATATTTCACGTGTTTTGGACCATCAAGAAATGTATGTACGTATATGTTTCTTTGTTTGGTATTGCACTGATATGAAATCACATATATGGACATATTGCACATAAAGTTTGAACAACAAGATGTTTATTTACATACATTTTTATTTCTTTTTCTTTCTAATTCATCCCACATATTGATATATATTACACATTTCATTTGGATAATCAGGAAATATATGTACATATTTCTTACTTTATTTGGAATTGGTAACGGTAATAAGACATCACATATATTGACATATTGCACATAAATTTTGAACAAGAAGATGCATATGTACATATATTTTTATTTGCTTGAAAAGTAAGGCATCATGTACATTGACATATATTACACATATAACTGGGGTTGATTACCATTTTAGTGATAAGACATTTGACACACACACATATATATGGCATATATTCCAAATATATTTTGAATAACGAGGAAATATGTGTGCATATATTTTTCTACTGTATGGGTTTTGATGCTGTTTGATGCTGTTTACAGTTGAAAGACTGCTCTGCCCCTTTCTGACCACCCTGACTGAAGGGCAGTGGGAGTGGACTGGTGCTATATGTGTTGACGGATGTCTCTCTCTCTCTCTCCCTCTCTGTGTGTCCTGACTAGGCTTTAGTGTTAAGCATCTTCTGCTTTCCCTCAGATTTCTGTTTTAGTGTACACTGCTTCCGCCTAATGACCCGGTCACTAACAAACTGTTCCTCCCTTTGTCCTTCTCTTCTTGTCCTCCTTCTTCATCCCTCCTTCTTCTTCCCTTTCATCGATGTGTCTTTCCTGCTGCTCCTCTGCTTTTCTCCTCTTCTGTCCCCGTGCTGCTCTTCTTAACCCCACGCCTCTCCTCCGCACGCCAGGAGCTGAAAGAGTTCAGCTGGGATCAGGTACACGACCCTCACACTTTCATGAACATGAGCTTAATGTACGTGTGGAATGTTTCATAATGACAAAATGTGGTGAAATGTCTTCTACAGAAAGTAAATAATCGTTCAGCATATCGTACAACCATCAGATCACTGCTGCCAGAAGAAAAGCTCGTATCTCCAAAATGGTAACTTTACAGGAGAAGGAAAAAACAGACTTACTTTTAATGTAAGTCAATGGAACCAGAATTTTTTCCAAGTCATTTTGGGCCGTTTCTTTTGGGCCATTCATCATGAAATTTACACACAATGTAAAGAGCAACAGGCTTTTTCAAATTATGTCAAAAACTGAAAAATGAAAAAAAAAATCAGAGATATGAGGTTTTGTTCCGTCAGCAGTGAAATATAGTCACCTAAGTTTCTCCTCACGCCTAAAATGAGTTATGCTATGTATTCTTTTGGCATTCCTTTCATTTTTGTTTCATTTCTCTGGTTAGCAATGCTGGAATTCTAGGGACACCCGAAACAGAAAACTGGCAAAAAATAAATAGTGAGGCATCATGGCAGCCCTGAGTTGATTTTCCTGGAATTCTGGTCCTTAACTTCAACCTTTCCCATGAGTCGTAGCCAAAGCTGGTTTTTGGTTTCTGGTTGGAGTGTTCACTGTGTGAACGAGTGAAATAGTGGACGTGTTTAACAAAAATGACCAGAAATACTAAGTGGTTGCTTAGTAACGGCGTATTAAAGAGCTGTTTTGACAGCGCTCCATCCCTCAACACTTACAGAGTGGGTAGATAAGAGGAAATTGTGGCCTGAGGTTAGCTTATACTGAGGTAGTGAAGTGTTTTATCTGCTTTAAATGTGTAGACGTGAGCTACTGAACTATAAAAACACAGCAGCAATTACTGTTATGACTTGATGTTTTTTTGAAAGCTGAGGTAGAGCCAAGTCAGAGCGTCAGCCAAGGTAAACATCAGGCCTGGGTAATGTTGAGGGAGAGTGGAATGGTAGACTGTGGGTTGCTCGAACATTGCAGGGTTGTGGACGTCCCGCAGCAACTTAGCAGCTGTCTTGGGGACGGAGGGGATAAGATAAGTAAACGTGTCCTCTTTGGGAGATATTTCAGTTTTGAAGCTGTGAGCCGTGCCAGTTGCCTTTCCTTCTTCTTTGGCATGGAATGACGCAGGGCACGGACAGTGTTTACAGATCCGCTGGTGTTTGAAGCGCACACTTCCCAAGAACTAGTTCAGTTTTTTGAGTTGCTGTGGTACCGATGACAGCACACGTCAAGCCCAAGCTCATGTTGAATCATGTAGTCCCTACCAGAGCCAGTTTCAAATCAAATCACGCTCTTTGTCACATCACATTTACACAGGTGCGAAGATGAGTGAAAATCATAGGTGCGTAGCCCCTTGTAGTACTTAAATATACAAAAATATATATATATAAGAAAAAATTATATATATACACACATTTCACTCTTAATTAAGTACACATGTACACAATATACACATTACTGTAGGCAAGGCAAGTTCACTTATATAGCACCTTTCATTCACTGCTGTTAACAAAATAACAAAATACATAGTCGTATAAAAATTAAACGAGAATGGAAATGTAAAAAAAGATTAACAAATGATTAAAACAAAAGATTTAAAAGAGAAAATAATGAAATTAAATTAAAAATAAAATTAGAAATTACACTAGGATAGTTAAACAAATAAAATGAAAAATTAAACAGTATTTCCAATATATGTACAGTTTTTGTACAGTCATATAAGTCATGAAATAAAAGCTATGATATGTACAGTTGTACACATTTCCATGTATGCAGTTTGTGTCTGAGGTAGATAAATGAGATGCAACTTACACAGGGGATAGAGTATTGATATATATATATATATATATATATATATATATGTTCCACATTATGCAAGATATGGATAGATGATGTACAAGATGTCAGTCTATATGTGCAGGTATAGATTTGCTAGATTGAAGCTACAGTAAGTATTGAAGTTACAGTAATTTACAAGTTACAGTAATTTTACAGTAATTTTTCCTTGAGAAATTCAAAGTTAGCACTACTGGGTGAGAGTGACAGAAAACTGGCAGAGGGAAATAGTGAGGCATCATGGCAGCCCCTATTGGGCTTTCTGGAAAACCATGGATGTGTACATTTTATGACCTCTCAACTCTGATTTGATCACCAGAATTATACACCACATACACCACAAAATGCTGCAATATGCATATACATAATTTTTGTCCTTTTCCTTCCCTGAATAAAAACTCTTGCTCTTACTCGTTTTGGCGAGCCAGCCAGGAGTACCAGAGGAATATTTTAGAGCAGTGGTCACCAACCCTCCTTCTGGAGATCTACTTTCCTGCAGAGTTTGGTTCTAACTTGCACGGAACATCCTGCCCCGCCCCCTTACATGACGCTAATGATTAGTGTTAGGTAAGGGGGCGGGGCAGCACGTTAGATACAGTTTGTAGACCTTTGCACTGTTGGACCTGATCCAGCCAGTGAAGGGCTTATGAAGAAGTTAATTAGCTAAAGCAGGTGTAGCGAATTGTGGTTGGAACGAGACTCTGCAGGAACCAGAGTCAGTGACCACTGTTTTGCAGGGGCAGTTGTGGGCTGGCGGTTTGGGAAGAAGTGACCGAGGTGCCCTTGAGCAAGGCACCTAACCCCTATCTGCTCCCTGGGCGCTGCGGATAGGGCTGTCCGCTGCTCCGGGCAAGTGTGCCCACTGCCCCCTAGTGTGTGTGTTCACTAGTGTGTATGTGGTGTTTCCCTGCACGGATGGGTTAAATTTCCCCGTTGTGGGACTAATAAGGGTCTCTTAATAATAATATTTCCAGGGACTTAATCTGATCTGTACTAAGATTGTAACTGAAGAGTATCTTAATTTATTTATTTTAGTTATTGAATTATTTAAATGAACCAAAGCCAAATGTTTACTCCTTTTGTGTAACATATGTCTTTATTGAACATTTATGTGTCACATATTTTGACATTACACATTTCAAAAAGTGAGATAAAAGAATAGTGTAGGTTGTTGGTACATATATGAAGGAAAAACGAAGCAGAAGGAACACAGTTATTGTACAGTTCAGGTATTTAAATAAGTAACATATACAGGCAGAGTCCGAGTATGAATAAGGTGACCATCCTGTCCTCAGATCCTATGAAAAATATAAATTTGCATTCTTTTATGTAGGTAAGGATACAAAATGAACCTATTTGAATGTAAAGAGTTCTGTCTGCTTTAGATCCTTGCCTACGGTGATATGAACCACGAGTGGGTGGGCAATGACTGGCTGCCCAGTCTGGGTCTGCCCCAGTATAGAAGCTACTTTATGGAATCTCTGGTGGACGCCCGCATGCTGGATCATCTGACCAAGAAAGAGCTGCGTGGGCAGCTGAAAATGGTGGACAGCTTCCATAGGTATGAGTAATTTTCTTTACACTTTGATTTTGTGTCTGCTTTCACACTCATCTCTGTTGATGATGTCTTTATCTGTGCTTCATCTGTCTCTTCCTCTGAGCTCCCCCTTGTGGAGAATCTTTAACCTGCTTAACGTGAATGTATGAGTTACAAGCTAAATCTAAGAGGTGCTGTTCATCTAAATAAAACAAGGCATTTTCTTTCATTATTGCAGCTGTGGTGCCAGAATCTGGCTATAGATATTTTGCTAATGAACATATTAGAACACTTAAGCTGTATAGACAAAAACTGCAAGTGTTGCAAGTTGGAAAGTCCAAATGGGAAAATTGCTCTACCATAGATGAGAAGTGCTGTGTACTAATGCATTGTTTTAACAAAAGAAAAGAAAATATTCCATGTAAATATGATTTAATATTACAAACCAGAATTCCAGATAAGTTGGGACAGTAGTAACAATGCGAATAAAAACAGATGGCAGTGATTTTATGGGTCTTTTTCAGGTGCGTAATCGAAAACAACACAAGGAAGAGATATTTAATTTTTCACTTGATCAAAGTTTGCGATTTTTGTAAGTATATTTCAATTCCAAATTTGATGTCTGCAATACATTCCAAGAAAGTTGGGTGAGGTAAGGCTGGGTAGTTTGTGGCATGATCAAACACACCTGTTCTGGATCTTTACACAGGTAAAGAGGTAAATAGATAACAAGTGATGCAATAAGTCGTTTGCGAGCAAGGATGGGTTGGGGTTCGCCACTTAGCAAATAACTGTGTGAGCGAATAGCCCAACATTTTAAAAGCAGCGTTTCTCAACAAGGAATTTTGGCATTTCACTATTTACAGCTCATAACATTGTTAAAAGATTCCGAGAATCTGGAAAAATACCTCACATGAAGTGCAAGGCTGAAAACCAGTATTGAATGCCCATGACCTTCGACCCCTCAGACAGCACTGCATTACAAACATGCTTCTGTAATGAATGTAACCACATGAGCTTGGGAATACTTCAGAAAAACCTTGGCAGTAAACACAGTTGCTGCATCTACAGATGCAAGTAAAGACTACTACACCAAGCAAAAACCCTGTATCATCAACATCCAGAAACGCCACCAACTTCTCTGGGCTAAAGCTCATCTGAGATACACTGATGCAAAGTGGAAACATGTGCTGTAGTGTGATGAGTCCTTCTTTCAGATTGTTTTTGGAAACAATGAACGTCACATTCTCCGGTTCTCCTAGATCCTGGTTGTTACCAATGCAAAATTCAAAAGCCAGCATGTGTCATGATGTGTTAATGTTGATTGCAATTAACTTGGACATGTGTGAAGACATCATTAATACTAAGGAGTGCACACACATTTTGGAGATCCACATGCTGTCATCTAGATGACGTCTTTTTCAGGAAAGTTTCTGCTTGTTTCAGCCTGCAGTCCAGAAATGTGTCCCATTGAAAATATGTAGTGCACTATAAGGCGCAATATGCAGCAAAGGAAACCCTGGACTGTTGAGCAGCTGAAATTTTATATCAAGCACAAATGTGAAAAATCCAGCTGGTGGTCCCAAATAACTACTGAACAATATTAAAAGGAAAGGTGATGTAACACAGTCATAAACGTGCCTTCGTCCCAAATTTTGGAACATTTGATGTTGCAAACATCAAAATCAGAATGAGAATATATTGTTGCTGTCCAAAGAAAACCATGTATCTCCATTTTTGTTGATTTTTATTTGTTTACATCACTTCAACACACCAGCTGTTCTTTACATTGTGTGAAAATTTCATGATGAATGGACCAATAGCAACGCTCTAAAATCACTTGGAATAAAAACTACTTGTTTTTCTTCGGACAGTGACGATATACAAAAACAGTAAGGTTAATTTTCAGTTGAATGCAGGTCAAAAAGTATTTGCAAATCATTGCTGTCTGTTTTTATTTACATTTTATATTTTTACATTTCTACTGCCTAACTTTTTTGGGTCTGTATTTGGAAAGCTGTTTAAAGTCAATTTGAAGTCAGTCAAAATTTAAAATGTTTGTTTGTGTCCTTAGTCTTATTAAAAACATTTTGTGATGCCATATCATTAAAAAATCTTGTTTTTTCTGTACTCTTTCATCAAAATGTAATGACTTTTGGGTAACAATGTCTATGGATGTTATATTTGTAAGCATCTATAAACACATTTATAACATGTTATAATGCATTCATAAGTCATTATAAACATGGTTATACATATTTATAAAAATGTATTACACTGAATTACACTTTACAGCCATGTTTAGTATACATTATGAATTGTTAATATAATGCATTATAAGTAGTGTTAATAACATGTTATACTGTCAGTGCCAAGGAAGTCAGTCCCAGCTTGGAGAGTGTAAAGTAAAGACAAATACGAAGTTTATTTACACCCTGAGATTTCCAGTATTTTATTTCTCAGCGCTGGTGCTGTTAGAGCTGCATCGTCGGGGCTTCAGTCCTGAATATTCAGATGCTCCAAACAGGCTGTCCAGCCTAGAATCACTGCTACAATGAGCTTTTCTTAACCAGCGTCTCACTTTAAATGTTACACTACATCACAGCAAATCAAGTACCCATCAGCCCCTCCCCTGAACCCCCTCTGACATCACACTGAGTGTGAAGTCACTGTGGAGTGAAGGCCTGGAGAGGGAGAGGTGAGATAGTAGAGCGCTGTCATCGTAATTTGTTCCCTCACTGGTTCTAACGTCAAGCACGAGAACCCTTCACTCTGTAACATCACTACACTAAAGTACAGTAATGCTAATTTCTGCTAGTATTCTATTAGATATGCAGTGTTAAGTTAGTGCCAAGCTAACGGTGGTGCACATTACCTTTCCCACATTGGGTAAAACACTGATGGCAGCACTAGTTTAAACTCTGACATTTGAAGCCTGTAATGTGCTTTACTGTGTATGTTTTAGTGTTTCAGTAAATCCTTCAGTAAATACTTCAAGTTGAAGCCTCACTCTGAACACTGGAGGAGGCTTTAGTACAGTACGCTTCACTTTACTTAGAGCGGACAAATACGACTTCTGAGCTCTTATAATTTGTTATCAACAGTACTTATAATGCATTATGTTAACAATTCATAATGCATAATAAGCATGGCTATAACGTGTAATGCATTTTTATAAATATTTAAAGCTATGTTTATAATGCCTTATGAATGCATTATAACATGTTATGAATGTGTTTATAGATGCTTACAAACGTGACATTCATAGAAAGTGTTACTGACTTTTGGTTCTGAAACCTCCTAGAGTCGATGACATCACCGTGCACCAGTGAGTGGGGAAAAGGATATTAACTAATAATATCATAATTCACATCCCCCTCCCACCACATCCCCTCTCATGGACACTCGGTCATCTATGTCAGAGACCCTCCCTGATGCTGTGTTTCACTACAAGTATTTCACTGCATTGACGACTGACCGATTTACATGGGCTTAAATAAGGCCTGTCTAGTTTTCTGACAGTTCCCAACATGGGCGGTTATCACTTGTCAAGAATCAGCATCAGGCCATCGTTCCTGATATCTGACTACATCATCCTGTCGCTCAGCCTTACATGTTGTTTGACTGTTCACGTCCCCCTTCGTCCACTTTTCTGTCACTCTCTCAGACTCTCTCCCACCCTCCTGTGCAGGTGTGGCGTGGGAACAGTACTGACTCTGAAACATGCTTTGGGGGATTTGCTACTCAGTGAGCGATCTCATCGTTCAGGTGTCAACCTCTACTGTGCCTGGAGTTAGCTCCTGCATACTCTGTCAGGGTGCAAAGCTTTAATGACCTCAGTTAACTCCTCCCCCCCCCTTTGACCCTTCTAACCTTTTGACCTCCAGGGTGAGCCTACATTATGGCATCATGTGTCTGAAGAGGTTGAACTATGACCGGAAGGAGCTGGAGAGGAGGAGAGATGAGAGCCAGCACCAAAATAAAGGTGTCGTATCCTCAAACTCTTCATCCATCAATCGTTTTCCTGTTCTTGACTTTTCTGGTTGTATAAATTATGAATAATCAGGTTCAAATCTGACAAAAACATGTTTTTGCACTGGTAGTCTGGCTTTACTTTTAAGCCCCAGAGAGCCTAAGCAGCATCCTCACCAGTAATAAGGCTGATGTGGTTTGTCCTGCTCACACAGCTTTCACAAAATTGTTGCGGTCAGAGAAAGCTAGCCATCGTCCAAAAGCTGCCAAAGCAAGCATAAGTGAACGTCCATTTCTCCGTTAGTTCAGTCAACCAGCCACGCCAACATTCCCGTGGATGCACCCTGAACTGATATATGGTGTTCTTAATTAGGTCTCTGCCTTAGTTCAGTTGCTTATGTACGTACTTAGGGTACTTATTCAATGCTTTGAAAGTGTTATTAATGGAGTAAATCGCTGCTGTCGGAGCAAAAACCTCGTCTCCATTTTTGTCGTTTTTTAATTTTTGACATCATTTGAAAATACCCATTGTCCTTTATATTGTATGTAAATTTCATGATGAATGGACCAAAACAAACGGCCCAAAATGACTTGGAGAAAAGTCTGGTTCCATTGACTTACATTAAAAGTAGAGTATGTTTTTTCCTTCTCCTGTAAAGTTACCATTTTGTTCCAACAACATCGAAATGTTCATCACTTTAGTTTAAGACCACTTCAATACAGTTTACTTCACAGAACATCTTATGGCATCTTGCGATTGCTGGCATAAGCTGTTCCTCAAATGCTGCTCTGTAAATATGCTATTCAGGGTTTACACGTGTTATGAATTCCCTATGTAGGTAGCCTTCAAATAAAGAGTTACCAAAGGTTTCACAGAAGTAAAGTCAGCGTTAAAGGCTGAAATTGCATGTTGCGAGTCTCTGGAAGCGAGTGTGCTTGATTTTGGCATTTTGGAGTAATCAGATGATGTAGGCTTATGTGAGTTGGTTCAGGAACCACAATGGCCGTCTGAAATGGTCATTGACTCAGGAAGTGTACGCTGACTTCCGTTACGCCCAAACTTTAAAGCTTTTTCATATTTACTATTGTCTGCGAAAGCTGATATGCAGCCCGTAGCCGCTGAGTCACTACATCGCTCAGGAAACTCCACAGAGGAACCACTTGAGAAGCACAATTTGAAACATCTGATGTCTGCTCCCAGCCGGATGCGGAGAGTGGAGAGAACGGAAGGGAGGCTACCCAGAATGCATTTTGTTCAGTATAATGAAGTCTGCGTTATTAGTGCTGCTGTCGGACACAGGCCGGTTCTCATTTGACCACAGAATCAACAGAATGTTACGCGTTCTTTAGGCTCAGATTCGTCTCTCGATCATTCAGAGAGTTAAAGTGCGATTTCTCAGTAAGGTCACTGCACTTAAGGTATAGCATTGCTATGAATAACATTAGCATTGCTAGCTGCATGTATATCTACTGTTATAGAGCTCAGTTAATCTGTAGAAACCATTATTACTATAATTTTGCTGCACTTTACAGCAACTTCTAAGAGTTAAAGATTTAAAGGACAACCCCAGTAATATAATAATATCACCCCAGGTTATATTAATCCTGTTATATAAAACAAACTATTAAAAAACTTTCTGAATAATTCAGTGTTTGAGATCAGAGTGATTCAGAGTGGTTTGGTGTGAAGTGGTTCAGATGTCTTTACAGTGGTGGTGATAGGAACGAGGGGTCGTCATGACTACAACACAAATATAGACATTTTATTTGCTATCCTAAACCACCAGTGAACCTCCACGAGTCTTCTGAGCTTTATACGGAACGCTGATGATGGGAAAACAGTCATAAATCTGATCAAATAAGTTTTCTTTGGGGACTATTTTGCCTTAGAACACCCTGCATGTATCCCTCCACCATGAATGGATTAAGATAAGATAATCCTTTATTAGTCCCACAATGGGGAAATTCTCAGTGTTAGAGCGGCAAAGGGACAGCAAGACAATCAAGAAAAAGAAAAGAAGTAACAAGAGAAATTAACAAGCAAGTAATTAACTTTTTTAATTACTTGACAAGGTATTTACAGGTTGTTACTCTTGTTACTATATAGATAATATATATAATACAAAAAAACTAAAAAATACGATAAAAATGTAAACTCTGTCCTCCACAAAAAAATGAACAATAGTACTAGTAATAGTAACAATAGTAAAGTAAAAGCTAAGATATTTGCACTGTAAGGATATTTTCACATAATTTCACATAGAGTTTTGCACATGAAGTATACCGATTTATGTTACCCATGGGATGGTGAGGAGTTAACAATATGAGCATTGTAATAGAAAAGCAAACAATATTTACACTATAGAGACATATATTTGTAGAAATATTACACATGGAGTTATACTGCACACAGGGAAAGGTAATAAATTCACAGTTTATGTTCTGTAGGTGTGTGAGGTCTAATGGGGGGTGGAGGAGGTTCTAATGGGAGCAGTGCTGGTTGTACAGTCTAACAGCAGGAGGAAGGAAGGACCTGCGATAGCCTCCTTCACACACTTGGGGTGAAGCAGCTGGTCACTGAAGGAGCTGCCCAGTGCTGTCAGAGCCTCATGCATGGAGTGGGAGCTCCAGCATGGACGCTAGTCTGGCTAACATCCTCCTGTCTCCCACTGTCTGCACTGAGTCTAGGGGGCTTCCCAGGACAGATAAGTTTTAATACATTTTAGTCCGAAACTTTAACACAAAATTGTCATAAAGCAGTGTCTCAGACATCAGGCAGCGTATATCTGTCCATTTCTTGTAGTAACTCTCTGTGAGGGAGCTTTTAGAGGTGGACGTCTGGTTCCTATCACCACCACTGTGAACAATTCTGACTCTATACGTTTCTCTAGAACAGAGCGTTTCACACCAAACCACTCTGAACGACTCTGTTTACATCTTAACCAGTTAATTATGTAGAATGAAGTTAAGTAAAACATAAGTGGAGTTTCCCCCAAACAATGAAATGATCAGTAGAAATGTTGGTTTTGTTAATCCTGTGCTCTAAAACAAACTATAAAATAATAACCTCAGGTTATATTAATCCTGTGTTATAAAACAAACTGTAGAAATAACTCCAGGTTATAATAATTCTATGCTATTATACAGCTTGTAGAAATAGCCTAAGCTTATAAATAAGCCTAATATTAATATTAATCGTGTGAATTTTCAGTAAATATTCCATCATTTCCTATGGAGAAAGGTACTGTGTGTGTACGACTAAATTTTCTCTATTAAGCTGCTTCTTTGGGTTGAGGCTCATCAGAGAGGAAGCAGCTCAAGGCGTGAGAAGGCGAGTCACACTCGCTCACTATATTTCATTAATTTATTAATAATCTTGTTTATCAGGCAGCTCAGAACTTCTATGTGTCACTGGTGTTTTGTGCTTTAATGGCTGGGTGATTAAAATTTTGTCAAAATAATGACGTATATCATTTTTATTACTGATTTTAAATGAAGAAGGTCACCTGATCAGCCAATGAGTCAGCCAATTTACAAAATCCTCAGTTTTAACCAGAAAGTCACTGGAGTCACCGTCACTGGTGTTGCACCATATTCATACAACACCAGTGACTGTAACATATGTTTGGAATTCAGCTCTCCTTTCTGCAGATATGATCATAGGAGATGTTCGTGGACATGTTAAGATTATAACACTCTGCATTCATTTAAGACATTCATTTAATGAATTATGATTAAATAAATATTTGTTTTTTTTTTACTCATGAGCAGCTTTACAATTATCACATATGGCAGTGCATCAATCTAGTAGCCACTCCTGTATCTGTAATTAATACTGAAATTTTTCATCATGTGTGATTTAATCATTAACATATCATTCTTCAGGTGTCCTGTGGTAAAATCACCCCACAGCCTCACCCCACTGGAAAACTAATGCTGTCTGAACAGCACTGTAGACTGTGATTCAGTCACAATGATATTTATGCATTTATTCTTGCATTTCGCATGACATCACACTGTATAGTGGCCACCATTCTGAGGACCGAATCAGGGATTGACTGCGCTGTGCGATGCCTTCAGTTTGCTTTGCTTTCTGAATGATTCACCTGCAAGACGCAACAGAAGCTGAGAGACGAGAGACACACAGACCTTTAATTCAGTGTTTTCACTCCAGGCTTGGAGCCGCTGCACTGTATAGTTTAGTGTTTCTCTCTGCTGTTCACACCTCGTTCAGCTCAATTAGGGATTAATTAGCTAATAATATCAGGTATTTTAACCAGGAAACCACAGTTATGCAGTGCAGGGGTTTCAGGACTGGAGCTGAACTCTGAACTAACTGCACTAGCAAACTTACAGAATCACGTCTGTCGAAACACGACGTCGTTTTCAGACCCACGACATTCAGTCTGATATTTAACGCTTATGTTTCTCCATTCAAACGTCATTTAAATCAGAAACAGAGAGTAAAGTTATCCCGGCTGTCTGCAGCTCCGTTAGGGGGACGACTGTTTATCTCTCGGCTGATAACATCAGCTAAAGTTATCTAAAGGCCTGCATTGATCACATCTGTGTTAATTAGCTGATGTCGTTACCCTCCTATGATCACAGAGTTTATCTCCTCTTTATGCAACACCATGGGATCCTTTACCCACCCTGACGTGAAGAGCCGGTGGGCTTCTGTGCTTTTAGATGATGTGAGACTCTCCAGAATAGGGAGAGGGGCTGAGTATGAGATCAATATATCAGGAAAACATTAATTTGGTAGCTTTTCCTCCAGTTTAAGTGGAACCAGGAGTTCAGGGGGAAACTGTATAAGGATCACAGCCTATTTTATCGACTCTGTCGAGGAAACGTTTTTTCTCTTCCAAAGTAAGGAGAGTCATTTTAGCCGTCTTTCTCCTCTAGTTACGTTCGTGTGGACCAGCGAAGCCAGAAATTCAGTCCCAAATATGGTGGCCACAACAGACACATCACGTGACTGAAACCCTAGGATTGAAATATTTAAATACTGTTTCTGTGACCATAATAATAATCAAGTAAACAGAGAACCAGAGTCTCACAAAGGGGAGAATTCTTAAGCACTTTAATCACTGCTATCGAAAGAGTTGTGTATAAAGTCTGTTATGAAACACTTTGTTGTTTACAGTGTAAAATGTTTGTACACCTACTGCATACCTGCTGAGGGTGTTTCTATATGCTCTGTGTTTGTGGTGAGGGTGGGTGGGCAGGTGGGCAGTGAGTAAGCCCTTTGAAAAGTCAATGTTATCATGTAATCGTGATTTTCTATTTAAAGCGTCGTCATGGTGAAAATGCGGTATGTAACACAAACCTCGGGCGAAGCACACATTTCCAGGAATGTCCTCTTTCGCGTGCTTCTATCGTTTTGGCATCTTTCCTAGTCCAGAACAAGTCTAGTCAGGAGGTGATTCCCACCTTAATGCCCACAGGCCTCGAATCAGGAAGTAGACCAGCAGGCTATCGGCAACAACATGTGTTCTTATGTAAGCTCAGAGTAATGAGTGGCGTGCATCTGCAGCGCTGCTCTGATTTCACTGCACTCTTCTCCAGCAGTGCTGAGAACCAGCCAGGTGACCTTTTTGTTTACGCCACTGATCAGTGAATGCAGTGATGCAAATTCTTCTTTTGATTATAGATTTGCAGTTAATAAAATTACTATCTCATCACTGCATTCGCTGATTTCAGCCGTGCATTCATGTATTACTTTTGACAAAAAATGAAATCCATACAAACGTAACCCGAGAATCCTTACAGGTGAAGTTACTGTGGAAACCCACTCCTGACAGGTAGAGAAGAAAAACATCACCTACGATTTTTGCTCAGCAGTATGTCAGAATTTTGAAATTTTAATATCTCTTTATTTCGAGAAAATCAGTCAAAATTGTTTTTATTTTGAGATATTACTTTTTTTTAGATAAAATAATGAATTATTATGTCATACTGGGTCAATATTTCAAGAAAATAAGTCATGCTTTTTAAATATGCAGTCAATATTTTGAGAAAATGTCATGATGTAGAGATATTATTTTGACATACTGCTGCCGGAAACAGAGAAGAAAACAGGTGACTTTTATTATCTCTGCCTGGTGGGAATGTACAGATTTCCAAGAATCCAAGTTACAGATTTACAAAATTGATTGTGGATTTGCAATTAAGAAAATTATATATTCAGTGTTCAGTATGAATGGTGTGTATGATTCCTTTAAGACTAAACTCCAAAAAAAACATATATATATATATAAAACCACAGCACATCTGGGTGCCACTCATAATAGATAACCTATAAATGCTGCATTTAATAATAAAGTATATATTGAAATTCAAACAATTCTCAACAGTGTTAGATTTAGGGTCAGGGTTTTAGAGTTTAGTTTTAGGGTTTAGGTTGAGATTAAGGGTTAGTGTTACAGTGAGTGTTAGATTTAGGGTCAGGTTTGGGTTTAGGGTTAATGTTAGGTTTACAGTTAAGATTAGGTTTAGGTTTTGGGTTGACGGCAGGCTGAGCCTGTACTCATATGGATTATCCAAATTTTAAAGAAATATTGTTGAAAATAAATGAATTGCCTTTTCTCCCATGCAGATGTGATGGTGTGGTCAAACGAGAGGGTGATGTGCTGGGTGCAGAGCATTGGGCTGAAGGAGTACGCCGATAATCTGACCGAGAGCGGCGTCCACGGCGCCCTGCTGGCCCTCGATGACACGTTCGACTACACCGACCTGGCCCTGCTCCTGCAGATACCCAATCAGAACACACAGGTGAACACCTGGTGTAGAATTAACGTGGATACCTGACCTGTACATCAAATACGGCTCTATGAAACTGAGTCTAGAGTAAAATATCTGTTCCATTTCTCAGGCACGACAACTCCTGGAGAAGGAATACAACTCCTTGATTGCGATGGGAACCGAGAGGAGGCCGGATGAGGTGAGCGTCAGCAGGGCTGCTGGTTAATGAAGCACTGACCTTTCATTATTTAGGTTTGCACAGTAATGATGGGGCTCCTTTTCACTGTAGCTATAAAATACAATTCCTGCCTGTTTTGGAGTTTCTTCAGTTGAACTATCCATTTTTTTCTTCAGTGATGTTAATGGAATATATTTAAAAGGAAATTTATATAATTTACAAAAACAGAAGCAAACTGGATTTTTATCTATGTGAGCAAATGTGTCACTACTTATAACAGCGTTGTTCCTTTTTTTAATAATACATTTTTTAATATCAGGAAGTTCTATCAGTTCTGTTTTCCTTCAGCACAGCTGTCTTCGTGGAGAGGTGTGAATAATTTTCACAGCAGGGGGTTCTCACCCCTCCCCTGTTGCCCCTCATTGCTCACTAGCAGCTCTACAGCATTTCACACAGAGTCCTAGTTCATCCGACAACAGAGTTATGGAGGAAAGTGTTAAATATAAGAATATTAATTTAACACATCCAAACCCATTTTGGTTCTTCTGATGTAATGGCCACTAGGGGGCCTTCAGAACAAGGACTGTTTACTGCACAAAGAACCTTAGGAGGTTCTGCTAATTAGCAGGGTACTTATTACGTTACTTGTTAGCTACATTAGGCAGTTTGTTATAACAAAGCTATAACCGCTCTAGTAAAAATACTCTTTTAAAAATATAAATTACTAGTTTAAACCTCATCTTTAATTTTATTTCAATGTATTGCATTGATTTTATTTGATTGGTTGCTGTAGATATAGCAAATAAAAGCTGAAATCTAAATAGCTGAGATTTCCAGTTCTGTTACTTCTGCTATGTCCCAAACTGCATACTAGCACTAAATAGTATGTAAAAAGCAGAACAGTACTCATTAGTATATTAAGTATAGCAACGTGTGGTTTAAGATTAGACAGTGAGACGCGTCCAGCAGCTCCAGCAGCTGATTATAGCTGTGCTGTGCTGCTCTTTAGCTGTCCAACTTCAGCTACATATATATTTATGCTTTTGTTATTTAAGAACTTTGGCGGTTTTGGTAGTTATTTACATTCGTTTTTGTAAAATCTCATAGGAACGTTTTTGAGAGACATGTAGGTTCCAGTCCACCAAACAAGCTAATCTTCTAATCGTAGTGTTTTCTGGAGACTGCGTCTTAAATGTCCACATATCTTTTTCTTTGTCATTCTGGTCTATTTTGCTTGGTCTTCATCCACCTGTAGGCTTGTAGCGGCAGAAACTGTGATGAGACAAAATTAATGATGTAATTCTACACTGTGAATTGAACACAGAGGGTGTTTTATGGTGAATATCGTCACAGCTGTGATCTGGCTGCAGTAGATCATCACAGTAGATATTATTCTGCATTACTCACAACTTCCAGTGTTCTGTTGCTTTTATACTACAGTTTAGTAAAGAAGGTAAAAAGAGAGAAGCGTTTTCACATTTCAGTACTGACCATTTCTTCCGCCATAAAAAGTAGTTCCAAAACTGCCAAGTACAGAGACTATTAATGTTACTTAGCAGCTGATGGTCAGTGGATCGTGTACATGTATGGCGTGGAAACAGCGCAGTTATCAGATGTAGCAACACAAACTTCTCAGCCAATCAGACTGTGTGGTCAGACCTTCGCTTTGCATAAAAGGTTACTAAACATGTCTTCCTCTTTTGCAGGACGGCACTAAGACCTTCACTCGCTCCCCGTCCTGGAGGAAGATGTTCCGGGAGAAGGACCTGAGAGGGGTGACCTCCGACTCAGCAGAGACGCTGCCCGCTAACTTCCGTGCCTCGGCCATCTCCACACCCTCAGTGACCCTGAGGAAGGTCCAGAGCGAAGGTAGGACGCTCTCGTAACTCGGCACTGGATACCTGGTCTCACGTCCCACACTCAGATAGGGCTGGGCGATATGACAGTATATATCGTTATCATGATTTTCTGAACATATCATGTATCGTCAGTACTTGTAGAACACTGTCCAACTATGTGTTTCATTATAAAGAGAGAAAATTTTGTCCTGTTTAACTGGATTTAATGCCAAAAATTAAAATTAAAATAAAAATCATCGTGTTCACAGTTTTTGATTGTATTTTTAAAATGTAGCACTACTAGTTATTTTTCTGTTTACTGATCAGATAAATGAAAAAAGAAGTACAATGACATTGTATATCGTGAATATTTTTGCCATATCTCCCAAATCTACACTCTAATCTATTTCTCTGTGTGCAATAATTCACTCCATAATGCAGTATGGACATGCAATTTTAATATCATGAAATGATTGTAATTAGCAATTATTACTATAACATATTATACTGTCAACGATTGTTCCATTCATAAACTATTCAGCCTTCTTCAGTGCCTCTCCCTTCATACGCTGCCTTTTTTAAGTTGTTACGGTTGTCACAGTTATGATTCTCATTGTATTATGATGACTGAATGCTAAAACTGAGTGGCTTTTAATTGGCTCAAAGGCACCGATCCCACACTCTGTTTTGACATTCACATCAGTTCTGTTGTTAAGACAGCATTTTTCCATCTCCGTAATATTTCCTTTCCTCAGCCAAGGCGAAACACTTGAGCATGCATTAGTGACATCATGGCTAGACTACTGCAGTGTTCTTCTATCTGGCCTCCCTGTCAAAGCCCTCGTTAGTTTACAGTATGTTTTAAATGCTGCTGCTTTTCATAGAAGACTGACCACATCACCCCTGTCTTCACTGGTTACCCATTACACTCAGTAGCCACGTTTACATGCACCCTAATAATCCGTTAATAATCCGACTAAACACTTCAATCGGAATAGTCGAGTCTGATTGGGGCCATTCGGAATACGCTTTCTATCTGATTGATCGAGGTGGGTAATCCTGTAAATAATCCATTAAATAGATGAATAATATCCGTGTAAACGCCTGTATCTGATTACATTCCCTATCGGAAAGTTTAAGTCCGAAAGTTTATACCATTCAACGTGGCGGAGCAGAAACTGGTCTGCAGAGGAGACGAAGTTTATGCTCTGGTCTTTAAAAGACGGCGGTGGGATGGACGTCCAGCTTATGTGTCTCAGAACACGACGTCTTCCTCTCGGCCTTCTTTAATAAGGACATGTGAAGGACGTTTTCCTGAGTCTGACATCATTTTAGAGTAATTAAAAACACAAGTGCGCCAACTGAAAACTCATCTCATGGTAACTTTTACTCTAAGTGGTTCTCCACGCATGTGCGTCATTTTGGATCTGATTACTTGTAGTGTGAATGTAAACGGAGATTTTTCATCAGATTGTTGAGTAGAGTGAGAATAAACACCTCAGTCTTCATCTGTAATCAGAATGTTTTCAATCAGATTGGCAAAAATCTTGGCATGTAAACACAGACAGTGTTCAGTACGAGGTTCTTCTTATCACATATAAAGCTCTGCACAGTCCGGCTCCTCAATATGTGGCTGAGCGGCTTCATCTATATATGCCATCCTGTACTTTAATATCACAAAATTTAGACCTTCTTCATGTTTAAATTGGCTTCAGTAGGCGGTCGATCATTTAGTGTAGTAGCTCCCATTCTGGATATATATACTCTCCCCCAGTCTATTCGGGACGCCACCTCTCAGCTTCATTTACATCTCTGTTAAAGACTTGTTTTCACTCTGTTATCGTTCTTCTGTTTGTACTCGAGTGTTTACCTGTTTTGTCGTTTTGTCGTTAACTGTTTAATGTGTTCATGTTGTTTGGTTGTAAAGCATCGTTGAGCAGGGAAAGGCGCCATACAAATGAAAGTGATGATGATGATGACGATGATGATTCTCTTTTGCCATAAGTCATATAATGGTAATATAAGTGAATTTTCAACCTAAAACTAAAAAATGTATATATTATTTGTATGTTTAATATTATGTAGGATAGCATTGCTTTCCACAGCCTTACCAGTTTTACAGAATTCATGATTTTGTTTTTTGTTGTTTTATTTTTACCATTTTCATTCTGTTTCCATCAGTAAGATTCTGTTTCCTAGCAGTAACATTAACACCTTAGCTGGCTAGCAGGGGAAAAAAAAACCCTTTTAAATGTCCTGCCCTCAAACAGTCTGCCCTAAAGCGCTTAATTTTTCAAAATTTCCTCCCACCTTCAAGATGCATCATCAGAAGGTGTGTTTTCCTGTCTTTAAACCAGAAATTCTCACTCTCAGGACTATTGTGGAACAGCTGTAGAGGGCAAGTAGGCACATTTAGAGCAGATGTAGTGATGGGTACATTTTTCATTCCCCTTAAGTGCTTTATAGGTAAGGAATGCTATTCAGCGATGGGAGTGGAGTTAACAGAGCCGTGTGACCTGCAGTGAGAATGTTGCACACGAGGCAAGCTGTAACTGTCTGAAGTAGCACTGAATTCCTTTGTACATCAGACTTCTATCACACGTTTGCCAACACGGCTGCAGCAGGTCTTTGATTTCGTCTGGACTCCAGAAATCACTGATCATGTTGCTCATGTTTCACTTAAAATATCACGGCACTGAAGTGGAATACATGTGGTCGTACTGTTAATGTAGAGCGACTGAAATATATCGAGTGTTTCTTTGAACTCATCTGATTCCATTTAGAAAAAATGAGAAACAAAGTCCCAGGAAATCTTTTCTTAATCGGAATGTCATGCAGAACATTGTCTTGTTTTGTTCACTGCTGTTTCTCTCTCTCTCTCTCTCTCTCTCTCTCTCTCTAGTGTCTCCGAGAGGAGAGTCTGGATCAGTGAGAACGTACTCCTGCTGAAGGGCTCAGAAGGTGAGCGATTCACCCTTAAAGGCCCCTGAAATCACTGTTTTTAATGAAGGCGACTCGTCCAGCTCTGCTCTAATTCTGCGCATCATTCAGTGTTTTGCTATTAGTGGGTTCAGTTAAACACAGAACCAGACCATAAAAATCAGCAGTAGGCGACGTGTGTTTATCTTTAAGATAAACAGACTCGTCTGTTACATCAGCTAACATTACTAACATAACATAGTCTGTAATACAGTTTGTGTAAATTAGCTGATATCAAACGTGATAAATGCACTAAATTATGGTGAAAGTCTTATTCTAATGAATCTATACGAGTATAAAAAATGAGCTTTAGCTTGAATTTTAACAGCACTGTCCCTGCTATGCTTACTGTGTATATACCATTCCAATGTAATTACATAATTACGTTAATTTAAAAAATTATATATAATACATCAAAAACATCAAGTTAATCTACAACAATTACATAAAGTTTTAAAAAGCAGCTTGAAATTTTTTTTACCTTTTTACTTTTAGCTTTTCTCGATTTTTATATTGTATTATTTGTGCTATTATGGTTTCTATTTTCTTTTTATTTTATTTTATTATTTAATCATTTATTTTATCATCTATTTCATTATTTTATGTAATTTTGTATTTGTATTTTTTGAAATTGTTCATTTTTAGATTTTTTACTGAGCGCTCTTATTTTCTCAAATTTCTGTCCTCTCCTTGTTTTATGTAAAGCACTTTGACCTGCATTTCAATATGAAAGGTGGTGTATAAATAAAGTTTATTATTTATTATTATTACATTCTGTACTGACAGTTCTGAGTCTGGATGTCAGACCTTTTTCCTGTTAATTTTGATGTTAAAAATGACAAAAATGTGCCAGAAATGTGAAGAAAGATCTGCACCTTCCAAAGAATTTGCCCTCTTGTTTGAGCTACGATTTATATAGTAACACTGTGCTTTGCTTTCGCAAGTAAAAACAGTGATTATAAATGGTAAACAGATGTAGCTTTATGATAAGACCACATTTATGAAGCACTTTCTTTACACTTTCTGTCATTTTTGATGTCAAAACAAACAGGGAAAAAGTGCAGACTCGAAACTCACGGTACAGAATGTGTGTGATGTAATAAATATAGATGAAATTAATTACATAATAAAGTATGCAATTAATTATAACAATTTATAAGATAAAAGAAACAGCAGTAACCACTACCGTACAGTACTGCCGTCATCTAGCAACAAAAGCTAAGCTTTAACAGTATAGATGAATGTGGACTCACTAATTGGCAAACAACAGATCACTGTTTTTCATGGTATTTCTGCATTATAACTGCTTAATAAACACAAATGAACTAATTTTAAACCATTCATAAACGGTTTATGAAGTCTTATTGTAAAGTGGTCCTGTTTGCCATTTATAAGTTGCAATTTTCAAAATTGTGGCGTAATTTTATATTATTTCTCACTCATAGCTCAAATATGAGAGGGAAATTCTGTGGAAAGTGCAGATTCTACACTTTCTGTGCATTTTTTTTTCATTTTTGACGTCAAAACAAACAGGAAAAAAGTCTCAGACTCAAAATTGTCAGTACAGAATGTGTGTAATTATATAATGAAGTATGCAGTTAATTACACAGTACTGGCATCACGTAGCAGCAGATCTAAGCTTTAACAGTATAGATGAATGTGGGCTCACTATTTGGCAAACAGCAGGTCACTGTTTTTCTTTGTATTTTTGGTGTTATAACTGCTTAACAACCACAAATTGATTTTAAACCATTCATAAACCATTTATGATGGTAGTCTTACCATTATATAATATAAAATGGTACATGTTAACTGCAGGATCAGCACCAACCGCACACGGACATGCGCTTCCCTCTCCGCGTTTACGAGCTGAACAGGAATGCTTTGAATGTATTGTTTGGTTTTGTTTACGAGCCCATAATGCCATAATGACTTTCTGCTGCAGTTTCCACATGTCCCGAGCGTGTTTTCGGAGCCGCGCTGTTCTCATGGGTTCCGTTCCGCTTCGGGCGCAGGGCTGTGCGGAGGATTTTTGGTCAAATGGAAATTATCAATGCTTTTTGTGTGGAGTTGAACTGGGGTCACGCTAACTCCTGACCGTGCGTTTCTGTGTCTCTCCACAGAGGGCGCTGCTTTACGTTTCATTCAGGAGGAGAAAGCGGGAAAAAAAAAAAGCAATGAATATTATACATTTCTAAAAAATATAAACCTACTGGTCTGACCATTCTGCAATAACAGAAGGAGAGGGGAAAAAGACGGATGACGGATGATGATTGGAAGAAGATAACAACAAAAAAACCGAAACAACGGAACTTGAGGACAACAGACGTGACGAATGTATGACATAGAGAGGGAGAATAACGCGGACTGGCGCTGGAGGAAGCGGATGACTGTTTTATCTTTCGCTCTATCGTTCTCTCGTCCCTGTTCTCTGTTCGTGATGCTGGGATGTGTGTGCGGTGTGTCTCAGTCGTTCATTTGTGCGGAGTTCGTTCCTCCCCGCGCCTTTCGTTTGGACCGAAGGAGGTGAAATCGAGGAGGAGGTGCGTTGGAGATTTGTGCCACCATTGGTTTCTTCATCCTTTCCCACTCTTAGACGGGACGTGGGTGTTTACATGTTAGCGTAGCATGGTCAGAAGGGCTTTGCAGACCCCAACACTCCCAAACTCTGTGTGAAAAGCAATACGGTTGATATTTCACTCCAGACAAAGTCCCACAGTGCTGCCTTCAGCTGCTCCCTTACAGGAGGAACCAGTGTGGAAAAGGACTGCATGGACTGATAGGCACAGTTCTCACTCCTTTACTCCGGTTTCTGCCATCGAAACTTTAGATTAGACTTTCTTTTGGGGTCCCACGGAGACGTCAGTGAGACGCGAACATATAGGGGGGGAGAAAGATAGAGGACGAGGTTTTAGGAAGGAGTTCTGCAGCATCCTAATGGACAGATTCACTTTAAGCCATAACGGAGGAACCGAAGAGAGAGAGAGAGAGAGAGAGACAGGGAGAGAAAGCAGAGAGAGAGAAAACGTTTAGCTTCTGTGTTGCGATGCATGTCAAACATCCCAGATGACAATGAACTAAACCTTTGGGTAATAAGACAATGTGAATTAAAACTTAAAAAAAAAAAATTCTATGTGTACATTAACATACGACGACGAGAGCCTGGGGAACAATTTGTAAAATGTGTGTATTTTCATTTTTATTTTTTATTTTTTATGATAACTATATTTATTTTCTTTATGTATGTATTGAATAACTGTATGTACATGTTCATTTAATACTTAATTCTGACTGTAATTTGATTTTATCTAGTTTAAAGCGTAAATATTGGGGAAAAAAAAAGATATTAATAACATGGTCATTAAAATATGCTACTTGTATGTGTAAATTTTGAGAACAAAATTGTGTTATGATTTAAAACAGAACATTACTGATGATGAGGATGACAGCGGGAGTGGAAGTGAAGATGCCATCTGCAAAATAAACCACGATGATAACTGACGATAATGGAGAATATAAAAATAAAAATAAAGTGGTTCTAACGGTAAACGCCCCCCTCTGTTGTTTGTGTCCGAGTGTGACTTCACTCCAGAAGTTTGGTTCAATCACGTTTTGTTGTTTTTCTATGTAATAACAAGTTAAGAACAGAGAACAAACTTAAATAGGACATTTTTCTGAATATTTTAGTGCTCAATTTATACTTATTTGCTTTAGGAGTTTAACACATCAGCAGTAAATGTGCAGTAAAATGTGCAGAAGTGTGTTCTCTCTCTGATTCACTCATCATCTAAGCCGCATATCCTTGTGGGAGGGTGCTGGAGCCTATCCCAGCACTCATTGGGCAGAAGGCAGGATACACCCTGGACAGGCCGCCTGTCCATCACAGGGTGGACACACAGACACCCATTCACACTCACAAATAAGGGCAATTTAGCATCTCCATTTGGCCTGACTGCATGTCTTTGGACTGTGGGAGGAAACCGGAGCACCACGCAGACACGGAGACCCTGGTCGCCTGGCCGGGGAATCGAACCCAGACCCTGTTTGCTGTGAGTCAACAGCGCCACCCACCCCGCCTTTGTAGAGTATGTGTCCATAAAACAGGTGATTTGACCATGGTTGCAGAAACTTTAGAAGGGTTGTACAAAATAACAGAAACACCACATGAAGAACTCAAAGGACCTCTATGTAGGCGTACAGTTACAGACTGTTATGTACTTTGTTGGTCTTACAAGGGAAATTAAGGGGGTTAAGTGGCTTGCACAAGGGCACAACCAGGTATGCCTAGTCAGTTGTGGGATTTGAACCCGCAACCTTCCGGTTGATGGCTCACTCCTCCTGCCACAGGCTACCGGCCACCCCATACAGTGTCAGAAGTAAAGGTTCTATGCAGGTACATTTTTACACAAATTTCACACACATATAAATGTTCCCTCAAAGGTACAGCAGTGCTTTGAAGGTCCAGTTGTGAACCTTAAGTAAGTTTTTCCAGGTGAAAAGTTCGTATTTGTACCTTTTCATAACCGAATGTTTTAAAACAGAACAGTAAAATAAAAGCCTGGAGACGAGACGGGGTGTGTGGAGTCAGTACAGCTTAGAACATATCATTTCAGTGGATTATGGTTCAGTTATGTTCCCTGACTAAAGGTACTGAGATGTACCACTGAGGGTACCACCCCAGTGACAAGAGGGGTCCTGCCCCAGTGACAGTTCATTACCTTTATTTATGAGAGTGCAGTACAGCCCCTAGTCCATCTGTTGCAGTTTGTCAGCCCCCCTCTACACCATTTCTCATTGGTCAGTTTCTGACCACAAGGCCGCCAGATATTGTTTGGGTGGTGGTCCATTCTCAGCACAGCAGTGACACTGACTTGGTAGTATGTGCGGTGCTGGTATAAGTATCAAACACAGAGGTGCTGCTGTGGTCTTTACACACTGTGCCCACTCACTGGCCACGTTATCAGAAACCCCTCTCTTGTACCTTGATGGTGAACAGTTAGAGACTGTAGCCCAACTGTTGATACACAGTTTGTGTAAGCCATCCTCTACTCCTTCATCATTGGTCAGTTTATGACCACAGAGCTGCTCTTGGCTGCTGGATATTTTTGGGAGTAAACAAACTCCAGCAACACCCCTGTGTCTGATCCACTCATACCAGCAACACACACACACTACCCTGTCAGTGTCACTGCTGTGCTGAGAATAGACCACCACCCAAATAATATCTGGCCGTCCTATTGAAACTGACCAATGATGAACCGGGTAGAGGGGGGCAGAGAAATTGTGGAGCAGCAGACAGGCTACAGTGTGTAACTGTGTACACAGATATAGTGGAGACATATAGTCGGTTTTTCCTGATAAAATGGCCAATCAATATTTCGCAGGCTTGTTATAAGTGGTATAAGTCGTTGCTTAGGGTCCCCCAAGCCACCAGGGGGCCCCACAAGTATGTACTATTTGTTTATTTTATTTACATATTACATTTCCTGTATATACTTATGGTTTTACTGTCTCTACTTTAGCATTAAACCTTTTTCCTAATCAAAGCTGGTAAGTATCGATTAGGCCGTGTAGCCGGCCCCCAAGTAAGATGTCACTTATGGACCCCAGATGTCTAGGAATGGCCTTTTTTCATTAAGTTTTAGTCAAGACACATCTGCCCCTCTTTAAAGAAAACACTAACACTTATGTACATTCCACTTCATCTTTTAATGCTTTTTTTCACCGTTTTCTCATCTATTGGTATCACAAACCATGAACACATATAAATATCTACTCCATAATGTATGCATTTTATTACATGGTCTGTTTTTTTCTGTAAAAAAAAAATCAAGTCTAAGTAAAATAGAACTCTATAAATCTCTCACAACAGTAAATAATATACTGTGAGTTGAAAAGTCAAATCTTCCCTCAAGTCATTTCATACCAGGCAGTGCACACTGGCATATAATTTAAAGCAAGCCTCTGCGTGGAGTTAACAGCAGCCCAGACTGTGGAGCACAGGGCGTCTGATATGAGGCACCAGGCAGGGTTTGGGTCAGGCAGCTCTGAGTTCATCCACTAGAGGGATCTTTACACCGCTCTGAGGCCGACTGTCCTCACGAGTGTTTTTAATCTATAAATATATACATAATTACATACTTACATAGATGAGTGTGTTTTAAGTGTAGAACATTTACAAAGAAATATATTAATATCACAAGTACTCATGCTTACATACTAATTAACAAGTAATAACTTACAGTCTGTATATAATAGATACGTAACGGAATAAAAATACATAGTTCAACAGCATTGACTGAAATCACTTGTGACAGAAAAAAAAAAAAGATTTGACCTAAATCCTGAACTGAGGTTGTGTTGTTTTTAATGAGCTCTTTGGCAGAACATCAAATTTGCATAATCTTCCCTTTCAAATGTAGTCGATCAGCCAAGACATGTTCGGTGTCTGAACTGTTGCGTCTTTAGTTTTCCCCCGGAGGCTATGAGGCCAATACAGCTAACAAGAAATGGAAGCTTATGTACACACATTCGCATAATGCTAACTGCATTCCTGAATGATCGCACACTCGCCTCAAACTGTGTGGAGTTGTTCAGTAATCCTCTAATGGACTTTTTTATGTGGTTTCTGACACTGACAGACCGTTAAAGATGGACTAAAGCACACTTGCATAGCTAAAAACAGGAGCATAGCCACCTCGAAGCCTGAATAGCTAAAAACAGTAGCATAGCCACCTCGAAGCCTGAATAGCTAAAAACAGTAGCATAGCCACCTCAAAGCCTGAATAGTTAAAAACAGTAGCATAGCCACCTCAAAGCCTTAAGTTTTCTGTAAATTTGTCCATTTTTAACATTCAGAAACCACCTAAAGAATTCTGTCTGAGATGTGTTGCTGCTGTTTGAGGCAAGCAAGTTAACAGACATACAGTTAGCACAATGCTAATTGTAGAGGGCATAAGCTTCCACTACTTGTTAGCTACATTAGCCTCAGAGCTCCAGAGCACTACAGCAAAGAGGAAGATAGTGCACATTTGACTTTTCACCAAATTATTCCTTTAATATCTGCAGTAATTACACTGGCCAACTGGTACAAGCTGACATGGACTGGAGGTATGGATTAAGAGAGAGAGAGGGTGATGTGTTCATACAGAATGAAGAGATTTCCACAACATTCCCACTGACCGGGAGGAACCTGCACTAGCCAGTCTGTAGTTACTAGGGATGTTCCAATCTGCCTCAGATTCCAATGCTAAATGTTCATACGCAATGCAGTCACACCTAAAAAGTACATGTAAAACAATAAGTAAGCTATGCTAGGCTATCAGTTACATCAAAATGCTAAAGTAAAACATGCATAGCATGACACTCTTAACTGTGTTTCATTCTGAAATTAGCACTTTATGATGTATGGAATACACAACTTTTGCATTTCAGTTGCTCTAACATGCTCTGATCTAACAATTAGCGGTGGGAAATAGAGGTTGGACCCATGATTTCAACTCAGGGTGCCAAGATGCAATTATGACGCGATTCACAATGCATCTTAAACTTTGATTTCTATAGCCTACTTTCTGAATTTTTCTTGTATTGTCATTAACAAGTACCGTTAGCTGAATTCGAATGTAGCCGATACTCTTCCACTTAAAAGTCTATCGGCCTGTTTCCCCATTTTCTACATTTAAACAAAAATGCCTTTGTAAAAAAGATTCACAATACATCTTAATGTTTTAATCTCTATAGCCTCCTTTCTGATATTTTTCCTGCATTATCCTTAACAATACTGCCCAGATAGCAGACAGTTTTGGCCCAATTCTGCCTTTCCTATGTGAGTGTTGGTTGACTACCAGGTAAATACTAGGCGTGCGAGCCTGAATAGGACCAGATCCTGGACAGCTTTGTACAATTTTGCCTTGTATTAACATTCATGGGACAATTCTGGTGTAAATGTTGTGGACCAACAATGTAGTTGGGCCAGATCGGGGCCAAACTGGGGCCATATCCTTTAGTTCTATTCATTTTACAGTGTGTGGGCCAGACCTGGGCCGAAGACCCAGCTGTATATTGGGCCAGAACAAACCAAGGATGTGGCTCACCAGTGGGCTAGACAAATTTTGCTAACTGGGTGTTAGCTTAGCTAAATTTGAATGTAGCCGATACTCTTGCATTTAAGTCTACAGGTCTTTTTCACCATCTATTACATTTAAACAAAAATGCTTTTTGTATAGAATGATTCGCAATGCATTTGTGATTACCATGTACTGTTAGCTGAATTCAAATCTAGCTGATACTCTTGCACTTACATCTATAGGCCTGTTTCTACCACGCTTATACAAAAATACCTTTTGTTTTTTGTGTCACATATTGTAAACAGTAAAGCTCACATTGTTTACTTTTCATCCACAATGTTGGGTAATGTATATTGTACTAAAAAAGTGCTACAAAGCTGGGCTGCGCCAAAATTATCCCATTTTAAAATGTCTCTGGTTGTGTGTTAGTTTATTTTACAGTGGGGAAACCCAGACCCTATATAATACTCTGGTTACAATGTTTGGTGAATAGATTCAGAATCTTTCAAGGGGCAATGCATCTAAGAAATGATTATTTTCCACAACACTAATAGCAATGGACTTCCTTTTTAAGCACAGCTAGTTTTACCCTGTTTTAAACAAAGATCGCTGCCTAAACTGCCATTGTGTTTTGAGTAAGAGCAGCTAGCTTAATGTGCTGGCAAGGCAAAAGGCTACGAAGCTACTTTCATTTTCAAAATAGTTTCACTCTGCAGACAATTAGACCTCTTCACTGATGCAAGTTTTAGATCATGTCCATTCATGTCACATCTACAACAGCACTAAGACAGCATTAAGAAAGGAGCAGCACACGGCTAAATATAACCAATAACAATCCATTAAAATATGCCTTGATTGCTTCTGAATTTCAGATCTGATTGTGGCATCCCTAGTAGCTACGTCTCGATTCTCTGATATCTTATTCAACTGTCTTTCTCTTTCCCTCCCTTTCTTTCTAGGAAAGATAGGAGTAGAGAAAGATTTCTCTCTTTCATCTAGTCCCTCTTCCCTGCCATTGGTTCCTGTGGTTTCTGGACTTCAGCACACATACACAGGACGAGTCTATGCGGATCCAGTTCCAGAACGTTCTTCCACTGCTGTCCGAGGTGAACGCCCTCACGTACGTATGTTTAGTCCGACACTCGCTTATCCAGTGCTTCTTGTCCACCCCCAGGCAGTCCCCCCCAGCCACGCCATGCTCCCCAGACGGCACCTTGTTTTTAGCCCCACGACACCTGGTCTCGTAGAAGATTTGCGCGAGCCTGTTGCCCTTCTTGGTCTCGAAATAGTCAACCACTGTGACGTTCCGCATCTTAAAGTCCATGGCTGTCTTCCTGTCCGTCACCCACATGCTGACAGACTCACAGGCGGCTCGCTCCCGACCCTCCAACCCCACCTGCCGTTTGTTACGGTGTACCTTGTGAGGGTGCTCAGAGGAAGGTGCTGGTGACTGTTCCGCAGAGACAGAGAGACCTAGCAGCAGGTTCCTGTAGGACTCTCCGTCACTGTCCTGGCTTGGATTGCCTACGTTCTCCAGTTGCGTCCTGCTCTGCTCTTCATCTTTGTCCTCGTCCTCCTCTTCTCCTTTCTCAGGCAGAAGGCCCGAGTCCAGCAGGAGCTGCAGAGGAGGGTGTTTGGGAGGTATAGGGGAGGCCGTAAAGAGGACTCTGGGATGGGAGGCAAGCAGCAGCATTTCCTCGTCTTCCTGCAGGGCTTCGTCTAGGCTCAAGTCCAAGCCTTCAGCAGGCATCAAACCTCCCAATCTCTCTCCATCAGCTCTGTCCACAGGCGGCAAGTCTGGCAGCAGCTCATTCACAATGGAGTTCTCCTGGTTGTCCTGGTTTTTTAGTAGAGTCCTCTTACCTAAAGTCCCATCACTGTCCTTATCTTGCAGCAAGGTCTTCTTACCCTGAGTCCCACCATTGTCCCGGTCTTTCGGCAGGGTCTTCCTACCCCGGGTCCTCTCGCTGTCCCTATCTTTCAACAGGGACTTCCTACCCCGAGTTCCAGCTACATCAAAGCTACCATCATCCTTAAAGCGGCCACCTTGGGGTCTGTAGTCCATAAGAATGTGACTGTCCTGGAAAGCACTGCGTGCTTGACTTTTTAAACCTTGTGATCTAAGGTCCACCTGATCTCCTGTCCTGGCTGAGTCTTCCCCTGCTGCTAGCATCTCCTGGCTTTGCTTCCTTTTGGATAAAGACTCCTTGTACACAGAATAGGACAAGTTGTTATCCTTTAGATTGTATGCATCTGCTGTTCTGTGTGGCATTTTTTCTGTGTTGTTGGCGCTTGAGTTGAAGTCCTCATGGGAGTCGTGGTCCGCAGACGAACCGGTTCTGATGTTGTTGCCAGGCTCCATCATTGCGGCAGCAAGCCTGGGCAGAGGTAACCTAAGGAAGAGCAGGGCCGAGGCGATCACCATGGCAACCAGGGGAAGCCAGTGCATCACTCCCAAGACGTATCAACTGGAAAAAAGAGAGAAGGAGAAAGAAAGAAAGTAAGATAACTGGGGAGACGGAGATTTTAAGACATTGTTATAAATTGCATTAGTCTAAAAAAAATCCAGGCACACTTCCATTTAACAAAACAACATGCAATAACAATAAAGTTTAAATGGCTATTACCTTACAGCTCTGGCACACACCAGTGGAAACAAAACAACAAAACTGTAGTACAAGGAAAGTTGGGAAAAGTTTGGAGTCAATTCAATTACCCACTCTGGTTATTCTACACATATAGCCAAGGCCTGGCCGCACAGCTTGAAATGCAAATGTCACTATATACTCTTTCACCATGTGCTCTGTTGAAGACATAATACATTTCATGGTTTTGAGAACAAAGGAAATGGAACGCAGGGAGTGTTCAGCTTTGCGCTGAAGGAAAACTGATTGTTATCCTGTGATTCTACGGTGCTACTGTTACTTTAAAGCCTTGTTCATTCTAGTCAGTCCTAATAGTTTCCAATGAGCCGCATAACTTGGCAAGCCAAGCCAAAGCCGTGAGATAAACATCCAGCATGGCCCCAGTGCATTCAGACAACGAAAAAAGCTTCTTTATGTTTACGCTTCAGGGCTTGAATACCTCTTACAAGTTCAGCGCTTCGTAAATTCATATATAAATGTCTTTGTATGTCATTCGTAAGCAAGTTAAGTATGTATTATAAACATTTTTCATGAAACCGAATTATTACCAGACATATCTGTACATATAATCATAATCTTATGTCCCATATTTGCTGCTCGTCTGTTGTACCCTTAACACTAACCTAGCCTTTTAAAAATAGGCTAACAGGGCACTGCTGAGGTCTGTTCTGTTCATGCTGCTCACTTCTGAAAAGAAAAATTATTATTAATTAAAATAAAATTAGTACCATGCACTATATTATCATAAATCTATAAATATTATTCACCTAAAATCGCAGGCATGTTAAACCCTGAGTCTTATTGCTCAGTAACTACAGGGACTTCAGTGCAAACCGAATTATTCTTAAGTTATAGAAATGTGTAATGACCTGCCAGCAGCTCCTGGCTGTTTGAAGGTTTTAAATACTGCCCAGCTCCAAATCTTAGCCATCAACACTTACATAATACAATCTCTCACACACCCTCTAGCTTTATAAGCCTCAGGAATGACAGCATCTGCCAGGTTACAGATTGAAGATGCAAAAACAGAGGATTGCAAACACTGTTGTCCAGTAGCAACAGTGAAATACAAACACTAAAGTACATACTTTACAGAATACACAATATACACATTTTATGACTTTTATGATAGCTAACAAGTGATGGAAGGCCTAGCAGAGTCATTATTCTTACAGGAAAGCCAGCTCAATTGGAGACCATCTTGGCAATGCACCCGGGCAGTTATTCTCGCTTGTATAAAACCACAATCCTATCCCTTTGAATGTGGAGAGACCTATAACACTGGAACTGAAAGCTAACTTACTTCAGCCAAACACTTTAAGTTCAAGCACAGGTAGTTCGATCTACCGTGGTCAGCCGATAGACTTTCCCCGGTAAACAGCCACCATGGCTGCCTGAAACTATACCCTATTCACTATGTAGTGCACGATTTTGGGCTATATCTGACAGACACATAGTATAGATTAAATATAGTGAACAGGGCACAGTTCCAGACACACTCCAAAACAGTGCACTATATAGTGAATAGGGCACAGTTCCAGACACACTCCAAAACAGTGCACTATATAGTGAATAGCATACAGTTTCAGACACACCCCAAAATAGTGCACTATATAGTGAATAGGGCACAGTTCCAGACACACTCCAAAATAGTGCACTAAATAGTGAATAGCATACAGTTTCAGACACACCCCAAAATAGTGTACTATATAGTGAATAGGGCACAGTTCCAGACACACCCCAAAACAGTGCACTATATAGTGAATAGCATACAGTTTCAGACACACCCCAAAATAGTGCACTATATAGTGAATAGGGCACAGTTCCAGACACACCCTGAAATAGTGCACTGGAGAGTAAATAGGGTACAGGTTTAGATACACACCAAAATAGTGCCCTATATAGTGAATAGGGCACAGTTCCACAGTTCCAGACACACCCCAAAATAGTGCACTGTATAATGAATAGGGCACAGTTCCACAGTTCCAGACACACCCCAAAATAGTACTCTATATAGTGAAGAGGGAGCAGTTTCACCAAATAGTGCATTATACAAAGTCAGAAAAAATTTACTTTGTAGTTACATTTTTCGTTCATCAAGGTACAATGTAAATGTACAACAGTGGTTTTAAGATCAAACTGTGTACCTTGTATAAGTTTTTCCAGGTGAAAAGTACATATTTGTACCTTTTCATAACCTAATGTTTTCAAACAAAACAATAAAATAAAAAAGGCTCGAAGACAAGATGGTGTTTTGGAGTCAATATAACTGCAATGAATTATGGTAAAATTACTATTTATTACTAAAGCTAATAAAGACGTACCCTTGAGAGTGTCACCCCAGTGACAAGGGGGGTACTGCCCCTTCAAACACACACCAAAATAGTCAACTCTATAGTGAATAGGGTACAGTTTCGGACACACTCCAAAATAAAGCACTTTATAGTGAATAGGGCACAGTGTCTCCTCCTCCTTTATAATGTCTCTGGTTATAGTCACCAGTTTTGTCAGCCTAAATCATCACACACCTCAAACGCTGTTGGGTTGTTAAGTGATCTCAAATAGACTTTCATAGACCTGAGGTTTCTGACACTGGACTAAAGATTGCTTAAAACAGCAGCGGTAGCATCTTGAAACTTTTGTACGTACATTCCTCCGTGTTTGTAGATAACAGTGTGTGATACAGTTCTGGAAACCACCAAAGCAAGTCTACTGAAGATTACTTAACAACATCGACTCAGCAAATGTGTGATTATTCAGAACCATGCTAATTGATAAGGTATAAGCTTCCATTACTTGTTACATTAGCCTTGTTACTCCACTGCAGAGCTATAGAAGGAAACGTGTCTCGGCAGATCAGCTACATTTGAGGTGGTGTGTGTGTGTGTGGGGAGTTGTGTACCTTTGATTTTATGCCCAACTATTTCTTTCACTTCAGACTTTGGTAGTAAACGAGTGTCTGTGAAACCACTTTTAGCAGCTGCGTGCAAAAAGTGCTGAAGTCAAGGTTACATAGATCAAATCAAAAGAAAAATTCTACTTGAAGCCGTACAGCTCTACAAAAAACTCTCCAGAGGGAATGCGTTTTCCACATGTCCGCTCGTGCGCCGGGCCTAAACAGCAGGTTTGTGAAATGTACCTCTCATCAGAAGAGTGAGGGGCGATGAGTGCTTGGGGGATTTGTAGAGTGAAATACAAGCAATGAGACGAGGTCACTCTGGCTGCTAGTGATTTAGGTGTTTGTTTAGTGGGGCCACTGAGTGAAGAGATAAGTCAGCATGAGGTTTTCACTCTCTCCTCGCAAATGCTCAGATCGGCTCGGCTCGGCCACCAGGGGGCAGCCAAAAGCACCTCTTCGCGCACGTGTGTGGTCTCGCTGATGGGTGAATTCCTCTGATGAAGTCAAACGACGTTGTGTTCAGGCCAGGTGTCAATCATCTGTCACGGCTACTGCTGCTGTTGTTGTGTTGAAAGAGGTGGAAAGGACTGAGGATATAGAGAAAGAGAGAGAGAGAGAGAGAGGAATGCTCAGCATGTCAGTGATGTGGCTCCTCCCGGGTATCCCCAGGCAGGACGGATCAGAGAGCGAGAGAGAGAGAGAGTATAACAGGAGAAGTAAAGCGATTGACCTATTCCCCCCAATATCTCTTACAAAAGAGACCTACAGTAATACTGTAAGAAACTATAAGATTTAATCAGTAATACTTCTATATTCGATAATCGATAAAACTTGAATGTGCAAAAGTCAGAGACCCCCTTCCTATATTTAATCTCCAGTCAAAACAACCATTAAGTACAAGTGATTCATTTTTTAGCATCACCTGACAGAACTTTAACAGAGAATTACACAGAATCTTACTAAATGTTACTTAATATAAAATACCAATTAATCAGTGTTCAGTCAGTCACTCTTCACCTTTATTCCAGCTTCCATTCTTTTCAGGAGACTCACTTTCAGTTTCTCAAAGAATCTGCAGACACACCTCCAAAGTTCAGTCTTAGAAAGTGGTTTAGCACTTTCTGCTTCTCACCATCCAAGTAGTCCCCTACTACAAACTTAGACTCATCAGTCCATAAAACCTTACAACACCTCCAAGATGTCCAGCCTCAGTATTCTAGTGCATAGTGTCTGTGTCCTTTTCTAAGTGTCCTTCATAGTCCATCAAGTAGTTTTCTGACAGGACATAAACTGAGGATTTTTTCAGATCTGAAGCAAAAGTGGAGCTTTTTATGTAAAATTTCTCTGGAAAAATGAAGAACTTTTAAATAATGTCCATTTTGACTGAAAATGAAATAAATAAACGAAATCAGTTGTTAGTTTACATCCATCTAAGAAAACAGTATCCTTAATGGTCAAATGTAGTGTACTGGTCATTGTGTCATGGACTACAGTATAATACAGGGATATGTTTTTAGCACTCTGACTGTAACAAGCGGGTTTTGTACTGATTTTCAAAAGCGCTCCTTGGACATTTCTGACATTGTTTGTTCACCTCAGAATTTGTTAGAATTCTTTGAGCTTCCAGTTTTAAATGCTACGCTACCGTGCTGGCCTGCATTGTCGTAGCTAATCAAAACCAGGCAGGCTGGGAACAACAATGTTTCTCCAATAAAACGACAAAAAAGCTACACCCTAACTATTCTATCACTGGGACATTTCACAAGCATACAAGAAAAATATTATTTAAAATGAATAACATACTCTAAATCAGTGGTCCTCAAAGGCTTGTCCAGTCTATTAACAGTACCTAAACCAGAGTGCATCTGTGGGAGGAGCACAAACAGGGCAACTGTTTGGATGGGAAAGGAAAGCCGTCAGGCAT